GCTGCCCTACCACCGAAAAATTAAAAGTTAAATTAATATAAAAATTAAAGGGTCATTCATTTCATTTCATACATCAAATATCGCAAGGCACATCTATGGAGGTCGTTTTGGTATCGAGTATAGTTATCCTTTATACCACTAACGCGTCGTGTTTACCAATTTGCACTTGAATCATCTTTTTTGATAACACTGCTTAGTAATAGTAATAGTTCCGCTCCGCTCCAACGAACTAGAACGTACACGGATGTTTGTGCATACAATAAATCTGTTTTGACTTTATAGACAACGTTATAACAAAATGAAGCGATATATTTGTATATTTAAAAAAATAAATGATTACTTATACAGCGTGCCGTTATAACGGAGACAATAAATGAACATACGTCTAACGCTACTTGCAAATTATCATAAAAAAATATTAACATTAAAAAAATACATAATTAAAAAAAATATTTTTCAAACAAACTAAGTAAAAAAGAAACAAAATTTGTTACATCCCTGTACAACTACAGCTGACTGATTCATACATTCAGAGACTTTTTCATTCGTTGCCACAGCGTCGCATAACAAGCCTCTCCTTCTAACAGTATGATTTGCCCCTTTTAAATTCATTCAACCCATTCATATGCTTTGTGACCTTTACCAATGAATTTTACGTTACAGTTTTATACGTAAGGGTGTTTTAAAATTGTTTGTTTTGGAAAATTTAATAACTTGGTAATTTTTATTACAATTTTAAAAAGTTATCCTCTTTATGTGTGTTCATTTATTGTCGCGATTGTAAAGACACGCTGTATACAGTACTTGTCCTCCGGTTCCCATAGATCATATCCAACGATTTTTTGTATCTAGACCGTATTAAAGTGATCACAAAAAGCTTGCCTGATCGTATGTAATGAATAATTGTAAATATATATATTTATAATGTATGTAAGTAACGCAGTTAACATTAACTGACAACAGATCAATAAAATATATTTTAAATAAGTGATAAGTACTTGTTTGACAAGTCATAGCTGTTTCGCGGAATAGGAAACTCTTATCTATTATTGACTTATTGTGTCATTATTTTCTAAACTCTATTGTTTTCGATAAATAATTTGGTTTTTGATACACTATCGGTTGGCTTTCGTCGAGATCTAAGGAATTCCAGCGTGGCGATACTCACAGCACGTGTAATATTTTCGATACTCGATGAAAAACCTCGTAAGCCATTCACTATCGCCGTTTAAACAGAAGACCGTTTATTATGTTCAGGCATCAATTGCATAACGTTTGCAATAAAATTTACAGCATCATAAAACGAATCCGATAAACGATAATTGATAAGTAAGGCATTTCTTGAGAACACATTCACATATAACATTAAAACTTACTATATTTATCCTTATGATGTTTTATTCTATCAAACGAATGTAACTCCCAATATTGGTCTCGTTAGTAAACTTCTTTTTTTCTCTGCCTGACGAATGAGGTGATTAAAAAGAGCCTCCACGTTTATCGACCATCTCAACGAGAGTCCTGATGATCGATTAAAACGCATCCAAGGAAGAGGGGACACCGTGTGGATAACGATAGCCTCCGAAGCGCAACTTACCCTACTTTACTACTCTTTCTTCTGGATTTCGTAATAATTCATTTTCCCACAGTGTGAGACTAAAAGCTTGTTGTTAGTATGTATATTATTTGCAACAACTACAAACTAAAAAATTTTCAAATTGATACACGTTAAAATTAAACATCAGTTTGGCTTTATAACTGTCTGTCATCAAGTATTTATAGAAAGTAAACCACCGATAATTAAAAAAAATAATTTTCTCCCGTATCAGTTACGAGTTGACGTTTCGCTACGACACTACGCGTCACAGAGCTCATCCTTGTTTTTTTTTATGGTTTCTTTGATTTAGGTTAGGACTTAATTAAAACAAACCATAAAAAAACTATCAGAATTTTAACCAGAACTTATAGTGTGCCCTTCAACAAACTTCAAAAACTTGATGCCATTTCATAAACTAGGTATCACCATTGATTTAGTGTGAATTGACATTAGGTAGTTCCAAAGACTTTGAGGGCTTTTGTAAAAGATTCATATCCAGCCCCACATTGTGATTCGAGCCTTATAGTGTGCATCTACCCTAAGCAACTCCAAAGTCCTTTAGGGACTCTCATAAACCAACTGCCGCCATTTCTTTAGTGCGAATAAACATTTTGCGTCTCCAAAGACCTGGCGGGTTTACCGTAAACGCACACAGGTTCACGGTGTGAATAGAACCTAAGCGAATATATTGCCCTTGAGCGTCTTTCGTAAAGCCGATACGGTACGGCAATACGGGACAGGTGCGCTATCATTGCTCCACGCAGCTGAGCCGAATTAGCGATAACGTACGCGAACTGTTTACTAAGAGCTCCTCTACAAGCTCTTATCTGATGCGTGAATCACGTCCAGAACAAAAATATAACGTTAACAAATACTCATTTTTTTTTTATATAAGAAGGTGGAAATCGATCTGGCGGTTCACCCGATCTTATGTGATGACCGCCCGCAGACATTTGCGACAACAGTAGAGTTGCAGAATCGTTGGCGCCTTATAATAAAATGGGCCCCGGCTACCTCACTCAACAGACGAAACTCAGAACTTAACTATTATACTTCTACGCACGGTCACGCCGGTCTTCTGTGAGGTCGTGGTACTCACCCGTACGGACCACAGTGAAAAAAACAATAAGTTTAGAGAATGATACACATGTTAAAGCAATGGGTGCTCAACGTTGGTTGGTCATGGCATTTTGTTGAGGATCCTTGTAAAAAGTCGAAGTCGACATAAGTTTGATGACTCCGTGGCGCAGTCGCCAAGGTTTCGGCTTCGGCGTCGGGGGTCGTGGGTTCTATTCCCACACGGGACAACTAATTGTGTGACCCACAGACAGTTGTTCGCATCTGGGTGTTTGTCCGTGTGAAATTTATGTTTGTAGAACGTTCTTACAACACAGGATAATGTTATCCTAAAGTAAGGGCAATGTTTTTTTTAACAAAAGAATAGAAGACCAATAGGATATGGTTTCGTTTAATGATTTTTGTTGAGAGGACTGTAACATATTTGTTTTTCATATAACTATTCCCTGAGCTTGTTGCTTATTAATCCTACCTTATCTGATGCGATATTAAAAACAATTTTTCTGCATAGAAAATCTGAAAAACGGTCGGCAGTAGTTTTCAAAACTGGGATTCGAAACTAATACCGACATTACAATTTCGGTCTTCCAACTAGACCATCACTGACTGCCCAATAGAATGAAAATGCCCATCACTGAATGCTATGATTACTTCACTAATAACAATTTACTGCTAACACAACAACAGAATTTGTCACTTACAACTTATTCATTTGGATGAATAATTTGTAAGTCACAAATTCTGTTTCTTCAGAATTTTGATAATGTAACGTATAATCATAAAATATTATTGTTGTTGTTAGAGAGATTATCAACAGGCACGGTTTGTTGCTCTGAAAACTAGGAATCGTTGATTTCAACGATATGTAGATCATAAAATTAGTTTATCACTCAACTATGCACAATTCTCGGATTAATATACAGAAATCATTATACGGAACGGGTAAATAGTTATGATGTTACAACAAATAACACATCCAGTGTTCGTCGCGAGTTTTATCTTTGCTCGTCGCAATGATTATGTCAAGTATAACGATGGGGTTTAGAACATCTTGGAGTCAACGAGGCGATAACCCTTCCCTCGACTCCAAAGGTCAAATCGCTTCGGGAATCATCATGTTCATTCATGCGTACCTCTGCGATTAAAGCTGCGTGTGATTCATTGATGTAACGATTATCAATCTTTTTTCTTGAAATCGAGGTATAAGAAAACCTTTAGCTCGCCATATCGGCGTCTAAACGATCCATGTCTATTTTTTTAAGGTTTTGAGAGATTATTCGACCAAAGTCAAAGTCAAAGTCATAGTCAAATATCTTTATTCAATATAGAAGCATTCACTTACTTATTGATAGTCAAAAAACACTACCACCGGTTCGGAAGGAAAGCCACTGACCTGAGAAGAACCGGCGTAAGAAACTCAGCGGGACATTTTTTTTACTTGCAAAAAAAATTACAAATATATGTACAATTATTAAATTCCACTTGAAAGAGCCTGGAGCGATCAATTAATTTCAAGAGTGTGTTATCATTCAAATCTATCGGACAAACATCATTCGACGGTAAAATTATCTAATGTGTCATCCGTGAACCATAATTAAATCGCTTAATTCCTTTAACATCTGGATATGTTGTGGTGGAAAATTATTTTAATTGTGAAGAAATATTTAATGAAATACAATTGATAAGAAAGATCGATAACACTGCTTATTTACGACATTTATGATATAGCCAAGCTGATGTTGCCTCGAATTTTACAATTCTCGTGAATTACACAACTAAAATATGTTTTTATGTTACTGACATCGTGTTCTTGACAATTGAAGGAAGCCTTAAAAATCTAAAAAAAAAAACGCTAACATGGCGAGTCCTCTTTAAATCTTAAATCTCTTTAATTTTTAAAGCGTCTAGATTTTGACAAAAAGATTTTGACAAAAAATAAAGTTGTTCCGCAAGCCTAATAAATATATGATATGTACTTGAAATGAATACAAAAGTCAATTCACATGTAATCATCCTCCTGCCCTTTATTCCACGGAGGCGACATAGGTGGGGTCGGCACAACATAGGTGACATAGGTGGGGTGTGTATCATATATCCCATGTTCTAAATGTTTTTGGCTAGGTTTTTTGCGACCGACGCCAGAACAAACACCCAGGTCCGGAACAATTATCTGTGTGTCACTTGTGTACATGTTCCGTGTAGGAATTGAACCCACGGCGCTGAATCCAGTAGCTTAGCAACTGCGTCACCTCTTTTTAACAATACGTACTGGTACGTTCAGAGGATACTAAGAATGTCTCAGCTAATAAATCGTACTCTTCCGCAGCCGATCATCCAGAAGTACTGTCCGTCGATCGCCGCGGGCGGGGTCTCGTGCTGCGACGCCAGGCAGCTGACCATGCTAGCCAACAAGATCTACATGGCTGAGAGCATCATCTCCCGCTGCCCCGCCTGCTTCGACAACTTCGTCGAGCACATATGCGGCATGACCTGCTCACCGGACCACAGCAACTTCCTCAAGCCCGTCAAGTTCTCCTACGTCAACGAGAGTGAGTTGATAACTATGCACACGGACTAGGGGTCCAGGAGCCGGAGCTTTTTCTGGAGAGCCGGCAACGCATGCGGTAGGGCCGCGCAGCACTCTTCGCCGTTGCACGAATGGGCAGGTCCGTCCGGGTTAGTACCACGACCTAACAGAAGAGCGGCGTGAAGTGGAAGTGTAATAATACTTCTGCGTTTCGCCTAGTGCGCGAGGTAGCCGGGGCCTACTTTATTAAAAGTTGGCAACGCATCCGCAACCCGTAGGGTTGTCACCCATAGGAGTGTCACCCATTGACAGAGATGTCGATGGGTGACATTTAACATCAGGTGAACCGCCAGCTCGCTTGTCACCTTCTCACATAAAAAAAATATACAACCTCTGTTATCGCCAATGCTCGGCTATACAACTAGGTGCCCTTGCAATCAGGTGCTCACTTGCCACCTTTTGATTTGAAATAATGATTTCATTACATTTAGAGGCGACTAAAGAAGTTTCTGGCGAAATTTATACAGTACAATTATTCTTCGCAAGGTCTATCGCAAAATCCACAATAATACAAAGCAGAAACGCAAACCGTAATTCAATTTAAAAGTTGTGATTTCCAACGAAGTTTACATTCAAATGTTTTTTGCAGCAATTAAACAGATAGAAGAAATCGACTATCACCTCAGTGAATCATACATGAATGCTACGTTCGACTCTTGTCGACAGGTAACGCTTTTTTTTTTTATTTTTCTCATATTTTATACTTTTATACTATACTATAATTCACTAATTAGTATCTATCGATGATATGAATTCTATTACTTTCATCAATAATCATCATTTCTTGATAACTGAGGACTTTTCTCTAAATTTTATTGGGTTTCCAGGTGTGGCTAAAATTTTAACACTGTGCCATGTGTCTGTCATTATTTCATTAGCTTTTTTCTATGTAGAGATACTTTTATCCTGTGTTGTTGGCGCGTTTTAAGTCATAAAAGCATTTCCACCAACAGACATTAAAAAGCGAAACAAAAGTTTATATTTAGTTCAATTACCGACTCCAAGCGGGAATTGATCCAACAGCTCGCAGCGAAGAAGCCCAGAATCCGGTCCCTCATTAATAGTGTAGTGTTGGGTTATTGTTGTTATTTGATATACGCACACATGCTGTCACATTTTCCAGGTGCAAATGCCGTCCAGCAACCAGCTGGCGATGGACCTGCTCTGCGGCAGCTGGGGCGCCGAGTTCTGCACACCGAAGCGCTGGTTCGACTTCATGGGCGACGCCAGCGGCGCCTACGTTCCCTTCCAGATCAACTACATAGCTGGCGACCAGCCCTTGGACGGGTACACGCCGTACAATCCCCCCACTAGGCCGTGCAGCGTCGGACTTGACGTAAGTCGGCTTTGCCTTCAAGTGTTGTAATTCTATCAGATACTTGTGGTGTTGTCGTACAAGGCGACTGCGATAGGACGTAGGGTTCGCGAGCGGATGGCATCCTGAACACGGCAAGGAAGGTCCTTGAATTACTGTCGTTACCGTTACTGTACGATGGTATTACTACCGTTGCTAGTTCAAGTATAATTGTTTGTCTGTTTTGCGAGCCAGTCTGGCTTGTGTTGTTACCAGCAGTTTAGTTTTTGTCGTCATAGTCGTGGTCGTGTGTCCATCGTCGGCCTGGCTGATGTTGTGAACGGATGTTTAAGTACAGTCGCGCTCGTGTTAAGAGTCAGTATGGTGTCGTTGCCGATGCTTTACTCGAGTACAGTTGCGACAATGTATTGGGAGCCAGACTGGCGCGTGTTTGGCGGTGGCTTCGAGTACAGTCGTGGTCGTGTGTCCATCGCCGGCCCCACTGATGTTGTGAACGGATGTTTAAGTACAGTCGCGCTCGTGTTAAGAGTCAGTATGGTGTCGTAGCCGATGGTTTACTCGAGTACAGTCGCGGCAACGTGTTGAGAGCCAGACTGGCGCGTGTTTTGAGGTGGCTTTGAGTACATTCGTTGTCATGTGTCCATCGCCGGCCCGGCTGATGTCGTGAACGGACGTTTAAGTACAGTCGCGCTCGTGTGCTCAGGGCCAGCCGGGCTGCTCGTGCCTGGACTGTTCGGCGTCGTGCCCGCAGCCGCCCCCGCGGCCCGCGCCCCCTCAGCCCTTCACCATCCACGGCGCGGACGGCTACGCGGTGGTGATGGCGATCGTCTTCCTCATATTCACCACGCTGTTCCTCAGCGGCGTGTACTGCTGCAACCAGCAGGAGAACATCGTTGGTGAGTCTCCTTCTGCGTATTCACTACACTGGCTTTATTATATTGAGAGTTACGGAAGTTGGGGACGTTACGAATATTTTTAAGGACTCGTAACGACGGTAGCTGTGAATGAATTCGATCGAAAGCTGACGAATTGAACACATGAATGCTTTATGATTCAATAGTTCCTGCTATTTACGCGAATATAACATTTCTTTATATATATATATATATATATATATTACGCATTAACAGTCATCAGTCAGGCGCGGAGTTTAAAATTCGTAAATTAATTTTGTTAAGAATTGGTTTCAATTTAGATTTCTGGATAGCAACTATGATTGTAATAACTCATTAGGTAATTTGCTAGGACCCTATCCAGTGCGAGTTAACCATAAGTAATATGAAACTACGGATTACGGCCTTTGAGTTTATCTTTTTAATCAGAATTTATCACATATACAAAATTAACACAAGTATCACATTATTATGGAATCACTTGTAACACTGTTATGGAATATTTTATGCAAATATTTATATATGTTTCTTAATATTAGCAAATAGCCTATGTATGTCGGAGACTAGTTAGTGACGTCATCTGTAGCACGAACGTACTTTCTTGTTCTTCTTTGAAACACCTAATTTCCTGGTTTACGGTTTTAAGTCCGAGTATATAATATGTGTTTATTTTTGAAACAGAATCGTCCAAAGTCTCCGACATATATTCACTATGTAAAGGTGGACGGAGGACATGATTGCATATTAATATATGGCTGATATGTAGCTTTTTTACAAATAATACACTCAGGAGTTGGCTGAGGGCAATATTTTCTACCGTTACTTATCACCCGATGACAATGGAATTAAAACTATCACAATCTGCTATATTAGAAATTATATCGTTCACATATTAACGCAAGCGAGGTATTTGCACGATTATAAGATAGCGAGGTCTCACGTCCTTTTCGACCCTATCGTGGTAGAAAGAGACAGCAAGTGCTATCAACTTTACAACGAGCCTGTTTAGTCACGAAGAGATTGTTATTTCTCCGCCACAAATATTGGGAAATGCCTTTTCAATGTCTAAATCGACTTCCCGTTATCTAAACGAACATTGTTCGGGAATATTATAGAAGTAAATGTAAATTTGGATATTTGCTCACATCTTTAACGTGATAAATCAATAAAAGCGAAGAGTGTATGTAGATTCTCTATTCCAGCTTCCAATCATTTAGACATTTAACTCTTACAAAACGTTAAGTGTCTAAATGATTCGAGCCAAGACAGTGGCTTTTAAATCATGATACTTCGGAACAAATTCAGTATATTCATTGCTCTCTTAGAACTGTCTTGTATCTCCTGTGCTGTATGATTTTTTATGGATCGAATTGATAAGATTAGCTGGTTACATCCCCAAAAAAGGTTTTTGGGCTAACGGATTTGTCTCGTTTTTTTTCGGGGATTTTTAAGTGTCTTCCTATGTGTATCTATGGGTTTAATTTCACGCGTTAGCGTTTTATTTACAAATAACTCATGCTTAAAGGTAAAATTATAAAGGCTTACGCTGTTCGGACGGGTTAACGATTGTTTAAATTCTACTCATGTAGCTCTCTACGGAATAATCGATATCAATGCACTTTCTAAAGTTTTAAGATAATAATATTTTGATAGCTTTTACAATTTGTTCATATTTCTTTCTATTATATCGTTATTTAGAATTAGCAGCGGTCTGTTTTTCGATTCAGTTCGGAATAAATCACGTAATAAAATCTTAATTCGGTGAATAGTGATTTTTGTGGTTTTCCTTCCCTGCTTCAAACCATTTAAGCTCGCTGAATGAGGAATAGTATGTCGTGATATTTTGTGATAAAACTTTATAACAAAGTTTTAAACTTGAGAACTTATTATATAAAATCTGTTATATACCTATTATTTATCTAAAAGATTGATAATACTTTTAGATAAATAATTAAGTATTATATAATTTTTTTTATAACATCGCCCATGATATTTTGAGTTAGGCCACTAAAACTCTGAACCTAAATGAAGAATTAATCACTTTAAAGCCTACAAATAAATAAATAAAAAGTACAAATCAAAGTAATTGTGTTACATTGATTGATATGTTTGTTAAATTATTTTGTTTTACCAAACTCAGTATTGGTTCGTTTTATATTTATTTTTTACCTAGCCTTGGTGACGGGCTGTGGGTTGCCATGCACTATAAGATTTATATTGAGCTACGAAGCAAATTCATCACGATGCCTCGCAGTTATCTACTGGTCCGGAATTCGATATCAAACCGAGGCGGGATCGACATTGTCGTCGTCACTGCATTCTTACCAAGTTTGCGTTGCATTACATTTCTGCATGTTATGTACATTGAAACGTAACCACTCTGGTTTCCAACCGACACCTTTTCCTTATGATGATGTTATAATGCATGGAGACTCATTTATAATAAATAATGCAATATTTTAAAACGGATACACCGTTCAGCGTTCGGAAATCCATATTAAAGACGGTTAAATAACTTTACATTTTATGCACCAATCACGGTCGATATTAAATCCAAAGCTTGCCCGCTTACTTTTCTTACATCTTTTTGTACTGTAGTGCTTAGATATATTTATTTATTTCAAGTATGTCAGATCTATGGTCAACGTAATATGGAATAGTTGTGTTTTTTTGAATTTTTATAAAATGGGAATAAAAAAACCGATAAATGCTTTAAGCATACTTTGCTAGCTATACTAGATGAGCCAGAGTAGTAATATCAGTGGTTTCAAAACATGTTCGAGAATTTCAAACCCTTTTCACACAAAATAATCTATTGGAGATCTCAATTACGTATCAGTTACAAATTCAAAAATCCACTTCATTGCGGGAAAATTAAAATTCATCGCAATCGAATTGACCAGGAATGCATACTTGATAAACTTTAACTTTTACATACATTTAGAGGGACATTTAACTATGTACCTATAAACGCTAGTTTTTCTTTTAAGTCATTAGATTTAAAAGATATACTAGTAAGAGAAAAACTAATTCCTACACGCCGCACGCTTCGACGGAGCCGTGTTAAAGACCAAAGCGCTTCGAACCTTAGCGCGATAGCAATAAGGTGGATTTCCGAACGGCGAACGGCCACCGTACACGTATCAATTCGACGGTGCTAACGCGTGGGTGCTTGGGGACAGACGGGTGGGCGAGGGGCGCGGAGGCACGGCGGGGCGGAGGGCCCGAGACCAGTCCGCTGCACAGCCACCGATCTAGTACGTATGAGCACACACGACGCAGTTTCGACCTTGGGCCCCAGGCGATAGAGCTCATAGTCCCACGCCCGCCCGACAGTCGCGGGCACTAGGGCTCAAAGTCCCACGCCCCCTCGACAGCCGCGGGCAATAGATGTCAAAATCCAACACCCTGAGGGGGTCATTGCAAATTGTGTGGAAGCGGTTAGGTAGAAAGTCCCGATGACCACTGCGATCTAAAAAGATCTGTTGTAGTGTTCCCTTCGAAAAGATTGCCCCCTTATATAGCATTATGCTTTGTTGTGAAGACGTTTACGTCTGAGGGACACGCATATAGTCGTCCCTTGTGGGAAACGAACCCACAACCCCCGGTGCCGTAGTCACTACGTCGGCAACTGCGCCACGGCGTCATCCATCAGAACGTTATTCAACAGCCCAATATTTAGTTGAAGCTCAATTGAGAGATCTCTTCATTTTATTTTTAGTTTTTAAACTGTTTACTTTCTTATTCATACGTACAATAGAAGACTGACATGTCTTGATTTAAGCTCAATTGGGACTATATTTACTGCAAAATGCTCAAAAAGCTCAGCGTCATATTTTTAAAAGTTCACTGTTGGACTTGTACCAATACGAAGTCGGTTCCAAAAGTTTCTGATTCGGGGAAATCCCACTACTCAACTGTAGCCTGTTCCCGAAACAGCAATTTTGGATGTTCGGCCATACCCGCTAAATAAGACTACTCAATATTAAAATCGCAACTGGGGCCCGGGGCCTGGGGTGTTATACTTCTCAATCAGTGAGAATTCATTCAAATATCATTGGACACGTTTAATGTAGCTTGTACTAATGTCGTAGTTTTATTGGTTTATTGTATTTGCATGTCGCCTTTTCTTTTTCTACCTGTTTATTGATTTTTTCTTTTTCATTTACATTGCATGTAATATCTATGTCCATAGAATCTAAACTAACCCATAATGCAACACATTTATAGTAACTGTAAAATGTATTAAGACGAAAATAGATAATTATAATTTAATTTGTCGTGTTGAACTATATTATCGAAAAAGAAAACTGTTTATTGTTTCACATTTAGTTATAGTAGTATATCAAATCTTTATCTTTTGAAACTATACGTTCATTAAACGTTTTATGCTTTTGAAATTCTATAAACTTTTCTGTGCGTGTTGTCTTTGCTTTTGTGTAATGTTGTTTGTGACGTCATATCCTACTATAGTCACGTCTAAAGACGTGTTTCATTCTCATTTGAATGGGAAAGAAAACTTTCCTAAAAATTTAGGAAACGAACTGTTAATCGGGTCGCACAAACCGATGGATTTTTGAACTATTTGAGTTTCGCTAGACTGGAGTTTGTACAAATTTATATTACTGCAAATCGGTGGTTAAAGGGTTATTTGAAAATATCCCGATGGACGGGTTTGATATTATGTAATTGATTCCAATATCTCCAAATATTAGCCCTGTTCCAAAATTTTGTTGTTAGTGACTTTGTGCTTAGCCTCAAATCTGCTAAACAAATCGAAAAAGTATCAAATCAATTGTCTGACATACTGTCAATCTATTGGAATATCGACGGAATGTGTCAGCGCAAGGTTTACCTTGTGCAGTGTTGTGTGAACAGTGCTATTATTAGCTCCATACGACTATGATAATTAGCATCTATTAAGACCCTAAGTAATCGTAATGCCATTCTAAACCTAGCAAAGACGCTATCAGACCCATTCGTAAAGTTACGAATGGCCACAATATTCAGTCAAACGTATTAGTTTCGTCGATATGTTTCAGCGCCATCTATCGTTAAGATGAAAAGTCACTACAGCTAGTAATGGGCGCCATCTATCGTTAAGACTAAAAGTCACTCCAGCTAGTAACGCGCTGTAACCATAAACAGGTGTAGCATCGGACACGAACCAGGAGATGTCCACCAATCCCACGTCGAACCCGTGGAGCGATCAAGTGGACGCGGCGGCCGAGGCGACATTCTTCGAGAAGCTCGGCGCCGAGGCGGAGACCAGGCTCGAGGACTTCTTCCAGTGGTGGGGCTGCATCATGGCCTCCCGGCCCTGGATCGTCCTGTTCCTGGGTGAGTGGACGGACAATCGGAGGGCCAGTTCTCGTATTAATTGATGTTTTTGCTTTCAGTCCCGAGACTATTAAAGCTTCATCTGACGCAGTGGGCTAGTTTTACGCATAAAAGCAGACATTTCGCTGAAATTAATTAACTAAATTAGTGTGAAACCGGAAAAAATATTTCGAAAATACGTGAAGTCCGCCAATCCGCAATAGGGCCGCGTAGTTAACTGAGCCCTATATACCTTCTGTACAGAGGAAGCGTTTAGAATGTGGGATGTACCTATATATGGGCTTGTTACTTTACTTTACTATACGCGTTGAAAAATGCATTCGACTGCGAGGCATCGAAGGCATGAAATGTTGATCACGAAATCCTTGTGAAAGTTGCATGAGCAAACATTTCGTCCACCATGCTGCGTTTCACTCGTCGAGTCGGTGGCGCAGTTGTTAAACTATTATCTTCGGCGCCGAAGGTTGTGGGTTCGATTCCCACACGGAAAAAATATTTGTGTGTCTCACTACAGTTAGATAATTGTTACGGATCTTGGTGTTCGCAGAAGGCTGATTGTAAAACAATCCTAGCCAAAACCACTTTATCTTCATGGGGCTTTTATCTATAAAGATACGTCAACCCCATCGTAACTTATACAGGTCACGACATCTTACGAAATACAACAATTACCACACGATTCACATGTTCAAATTTGTACCGACCCCATCTAACTGCGATAAGGGCATGAGGGTGACGGTGCTGCGTTTCGATTTATTCGCCGGGCCCTAAATCAAAGTGTTAGTTGGTCTTTATCCATCGCAGGCCTCTGCATCGTGGTGGCCCTCGGCACGGGTATCAACCAGATGCAGGTGACCACCAACCCGGTGGAGCTGTGGGCGGCGCCCAACTCGCGCTCGCGCGTGGAGCGGGCCCGCTTTGACGAGTACTTCGAGCCGTTCTACCGCACCGAGATGCTGATCATCAGCTCGAAGGGCCTGCCCACCATCCAGCACGAGACGCCGTCGGGCACCGTCGAGTTCGGGCCCGTGTTCAACGCCACCTTCATGCTCGACGTGCTGCACCTGCAGAACAGGATCATGGGTGCGTATAAGGAAGAGAAGAGAAACAAGAAAGAGAGTGAGATAGAGAGAGATAGAGATAGCAAGAGAATGAAAATTTCCTTTCCTGTTGCGATACAACCCATCGTGTCTAATTGGCATGAGGTTTTTTCATACATAAATTAGTGATTAAGCTTTATTTTGGTGCCTTTGTAATTTTATGTCTTTCTTGTTGCAAATATCAAATAATAATTTGAAATTAATAAAAAAAAGTAAATAATTACTGCTCATTATACAATCGGTTTCTGCAACACTGACCATCGTAGAAGTTAACTGATCAGCTTTCAAATGTTATTTGAGTTGCCAAAATGATGGTTAAACTCGTTGAATTGATCATTCTGTTCAGGAACCGTAAATGTTTAGTGCGTCATTTAACTCTACCTGTCAAGGACTACTTTATTTAATTCTCAGTTTTCCCTGTTGCTTTTTAAACGGCTTGAACGAATAATAATTTAAATAGCGCTCGGCAACGAGACGAAGATCCAGGACATCTGCTACGCGCCGCTCACGTCGCCGTTCACGGGGCCCGTGACGGCGGACAGCTGCGTGGTGCAGTCCGTGTGGGGCTGGTGGCAGAACAGCGAGGAGGACTTCCTCGACTCGCTGGAGGACAACCAGTACCTGGACACCGTGCTCAGCTGTTCCAGGTGCGCCCCGCCGGAGTTGGTCCTTCCGGCCGGATAACGATACAAATTTTGGAGATTCTCTCATTAGTTCTCTGTGTTGGACCAATTTTAAACATCCCCGTATTAAGTTTTGATGCCCAAATGCCAAACAGTTAAAATATTTAGTTTTCTAATGAAAATATAAAAGTCGTACTCTCTAAATGTTTATAAAAATAGATGTAATTTTTTTGGGTAGCGGTAGTAGTAGGAATCCCTGCTTGTGTTAGTCGATATTCTGTTGTTTGAAAAAATTATCCGCTTACATCATTATCCAGGGTTAAATGAACGCTTAACGGCCTGCTTCTATATTCTATCTACGGATAGATTTGGTCAATGGAGATAGAATTTTGACGTGAGTATTATCTATTTAGTGTCAAATACCTGTCGCTAGTAACCAAATCAGCAGATAGAATATCGAAACCGCCCGTAAACCACCGCCTTTCGCCACTGTCGAGGGTGAAATGAACGCTGTTGAGGTTCCGCAACTTGTTGTACCATAGTATTGGTCCCCCCCCAGCAACCCGTACCAGTGCCTGGCGCCGTACGGCGGGCCCGTGCTGCCGGCCGTGGCGCTGGGCGGCTTCCTGCCGCCGGGCGGCGTGCTCGCCAAGACCAAGCTCTACCACAACGCCACCGCGCTCATTCTCACCTTCCTAGTCAACAACAGGAACGACAAGTCGCAGGTACACCTCTCTCCCTCCCCCCCACCTCCTTCCTATCCCCTCACTCTTGGTCCATCACCCCATTTCATAATTCGTCTTACTTCTCCCTTTATCTTATAATCCCCATCCCGAATAAGACGATCCAGTGTGTCTTAATATAAGAGTTCTGGGATTGAATTCTTTACTTGTTATTGTGTATCCTGGCATTCTTACTTGTATATCCTCCTATATACATATACCTTTCTATGGATCCGTCCTATGCTTTCTCTATTGAATGTAATTAAGTTTACCGAATAACAGATAGCTTCATTTGCCTTGTAGTATTCAACTGAAACCGTTCTTCCATTATTTGCTTTCCCATCCTAGTGGTGTTGACTTAAATATTACCTTATTATACCTTAAACTTCGAAAATATATATTTCTTAAAGGAATTATTTAAATCTCTATGAATAATTATTGGTTTTGCTTGAAAATGTTAATATCAAAAATTTAAGTTCCACACGAAAATTTGTGGTTTTTCTGTGTAAGAAATTTATTAACTAATTCCTTTTTTGGCCGTTCATGGATTTATATTTGCGCTTTGCATTTCTAGGTAAGTTATAACCCATTTTTCAATTTGCCAGTGATGATAGCGAAATGAAAAAAGTCGAGTTATTGATTATTTGGTTTTTATTTATTTGTGTGGAAGGGGTTTGGTAATAAGCCCCAGCGACCACTACGATCTAAATGAAAAAAATGAAGAAGCTGAACGCTTTATACGACGAAAAAACAATGGAAACACGTTACCGCGATGAAGCCCGTATATAGCATCCGATTGTTAAATATTAACGCTGTATGTATGTATGTATAAAGAATATTAGCAATTTATTATTAATTATTTTAAAGATATCTTTGAGCAACACCTCCTTTTTCGAAGTCGGTTTAAAGTCACGCATCATGTTTTCGTGTGCGTGCGCAGCTGGGCCCGGCGCTGCAGTGGGAGGAGGAGTTCATCGCGTTCATGAGGAACTACACGGAGAACGAGATGCCCGACTATATGGACATCGCTTACACGTCGGAGCGCTCCATCGAGGACGAGCTGTACCGCGAGTCGCAGTCGGACATCTCGACCATCGTGGTCTCCTACTTCATCATGTTCGCGTACATCGCCATCTCGCTGGGCCGCTTCACCACCTGCTCGCGGCTGCTCATCGACAGCAAGGTCACCCTCGGCCTCGGAGGTGGGTTACTCAAGCTGCAGACTCGGTTCCGATTAACTTCCCTGACTGCACTCTATAGGCAACCTTCGCAGCCTGGCTACTTACAGACTCAATTCCGATTAACTAACTACCCTGACTGGACTCTAGGCCCTACCTTTGCGGCCTTGCTCACGTAACAGACTCAATTCCGATTAACTAACTACCCTGACTGGACTCTAGGCCCTACCTTTGCGGCCTTGCTCACGTTACAGACTCAATTCCGATTAACTAACTACCCTGACTGGACTCTAGGCCCTACCTTTGCGGCCTTGCTCGCATTACAGACTCAATTCCGATTAAATGTCATGAATGAGTCAACTCACTCGGCCACCTTCAGACTCAATTCCTATTATCTGATGTGTCTCTACTCTCTGGACTAGCTACGGTCTTGCTCACGTTACAAATTCAATTCCGATTAACTGCCATGGCTTGACTCTGTGTGCGGAATTTGGTCTTGCTCACGTTACAAATTCAATTCCGATTAACTGCCATGGCTTGACTCTGTGTGCGGAATTTGGTCTTGCTCACGTTACAAATTCAATTCCGATTAACTGCCATGGCTTGACTCTGTGTGCGGAATTTGGTCTTGCTCACGTTACAAATTCAATTCCGATTAACTGCCATGGCTCGACTATGTGTACCGCCTTCGGTCTTGTAACAAAGTACACTGCCGCACTTACAAGAGAGGATTAAGCGAAGAAAGAAGAAGCCACAGTCAGCTGATGACGCGATTCTCGTCCCCAGGCGTGACGATAGTGCTGGCGTCGGTGGTGTGCTCGCTGGGCATGTTCGGGTACGCGGGCGTGGCGGCGACCCTCATCATCGTGGAGGTGATCCCGTTCCTGGTGCTGGCCGTGGGCGTGGACAACATCTTCATCCTGGTGCAGACCAGCCAGCGCGAGCCGCGCCGCCCCAACGAGACGGTGGCCGAGCACATCGGCAGGACGTACGTACATTCGACGCACCAGCGAAGCACCGACGATGGTCGTTTTTTATGATAAATGTTGCCATGCTTGCAGGTGGAGGCCGCTCATTGAAAATTACACCAGACAAGTTGCTTAAATTATGAGTTTTCTTTATTATGAGAGAGGTGGTTTATCGCCTTTTGTTAATTGATTATCACCACTCGCTTTTATTTGCAATAAGTATGAAGCTGCAGACGCGTTTTCAGACCTATCACTAGATGAAACGCGAAAACAAAATCCCCAAGCGATTTAAGTTCCTAGGACAATTCTGCCCAAACTCGCCATACTGATAGTAAAGAAATATGGCCATAAGAGAAACCTACAAGACGAACTTTCCCGCTTTTATTTCATCTCTGCGACAATAAATGAGAATACGTTTCCCGTGATCACGAAGACACATCGCTCAAAGAGCGCGCTCGCCCGCAGGCTGGGCCAGGTGGGCCCGTCGATGTTCCTGACGTCGGCGTCGGAGTCGGTGTGCTTCTTCCTGGGCGCGCTGAGCGACATGCCGGCCGTGCGCGCCTTCGCGCTCTACGCGGGCGCCGCGCTGCTCGTCGACTTCCTGCTGCAGGTCACCTGCTTCGTGGCGCTGCTCGCCATCGACACGCACCGCCAGAACGCCAACAGGTCCACCCCTATCCCCCCCTCTCTATCTCTCTTTCTCTCTCTCTCTCTCTCTCTCTTTATCTGTTTGTATGTATAGATATAAAAGAAGGGAAACGTCTCTTTCTATTCCCCCTCCCCAGGAGCGTTGAACGTTTAACGCAACCATGTTGGAAGTCGCATTAGAAGTTTCTCTTCAAATATGTAAGGTTTTCATTAATTCGCTTGAAGTCTTACTCATCCCATATGTTATGTGTATATGCAAAATTATAATATAGGCTTAATTTCATTAGTCAATATGACATTTGACTGGACTTATAACATTGGTTGGTTGGTTCTAAAATATTAGTTTATTAAATATAATTGTTATAGGCTTCATTTATTCCAATATAACAAGTGTAAATAAATTATTGTTAGAACAATCATTTATTTTATCATTATAAAATCATATTTATTCAATGCTGTTCATATGAAAGCGGAAAGTCACGGTGTACACCCTTGCAGGTTCGACGTGCTGTGCTGTCTGAGCGGCTCGAAGACGGACTCGCAGGGCGCCAGCGACGGCGCGCTGTACAACCTGTTCCGCCACCTGTACGTGCCCTTCCTCATGAAGCGCGAGGTGCGCGCCTCCGTCATGATCCTCTTCTTCGCCTGGCTCTGCTCCTCAGTCGCGGTCAGTATCAACCCCTGCTAAATCGGTTTTATTTCGAAACGAAATCCACAACACTTAGTTACAAATATATACATCTTCAAAATCCACAGCACATAGTTACAAAGTATATATGTCTTCAAAATCCACGGCACTTAGTTACAAAATATATACTTACATCTGCAAAATCCACATCACTTATACAAATAAATACATCTTACACACTACATTATTTAGCTCAGTAATTTTAATGAGGCATTTTTGTCCGGGTGCTCGCTTTCAATTCAATATAATCTAGCGACCTGAGTTTGATCATCAGCACCAATGAAATTGTTAATTTTATGAGCTGACTTATCACATGCTGAGCGGTGAAGGAAAACATCGTGAGGAAACCTGCATGTTTTCGAAATAATAACAAAAACAAAATTTTAAAAAATATGTGCCAATAATGCCAATCCGCAGTGGGGTCACGGTTTATTAGGGCATAGTCACTTAACCTAACAATGTTGGGCGATTGAAATGTGTAGTGAGAGGGAGATAAACGCGATTTTACCTTCGACGTGAAAGAAACAGCAATACGCACAGTATAAACTGTTTATACCCCGACGCCATATAAACTGTTTATTACGCACACTGTACTAGCTCTCTAACTCTGACTTCGGCACCGGTAGACAAATGACGAAACGACGCTAGAGTGACATAAATTGAATAGACCGGCGTGAAGTGTAAGTATTATAATACGTCTGCGTTTCGCCTGGTGAGTAAGGTAGCTGGGGTCCACTTAAAAGGTGGCAACGCATCTGGAACTGCAAGGGTGTTGCAAATGTCAATGGGTGGTGGTTATCACATAACATCAGATGTCACCTTCTCACATAAATTTCACGCCTTGTGCCATACGCCCTGCTAAAGCGAGCTCTATCGTTGCAGGTGGCGCCGTACATCGACATCGGGCTGGACCAGGAGCTCTCGATGCCCCACGACAGCTTCCAGCTGAAGTACTTCCAGCACCTGAACAAGTACCTGAACATTGGGCCGCCCGTCTACTTCGTGCTGACCACCGGCCTCAACTTCTCCAAGGTGGACCACCAGAACATGGTCTGCGGGACGAGGTTCTGCAATCCGGACAGCGTCACCATGCAACTGTACTCAGGTGAGATGAATATGTTACGGTGATGACTCTTTGGCGCAGTAATAAAGGTACCTCGGCGCCGGGGGTTGTGGGTTCGATGTCCATACGAGACAACTATCTGTGTGAACCCCAAATCTGTAACTACCGTTTCACACAGATGTTTCACACATGTTTCACAGTTGTTTCAGATCTGGGTCAACGTGAAATTTATGTATGTAAAATGTTCTTACAACACAGGATACTAAGGGGGCAATCAATTCGAAGGGGATAACAACTGACCTTCCTAAATTGCAGTGGTTGTTTTGTATTTGTATTTTGCTGTAAGTCCCACATCACAATACAAACACAAAATGTTACGGTTACGATGATTGTTTAAATTAATTTTAAATTAAATAATATTCAGATGATCATCAAACCAGTAAACTGTCACGGATCAATGGTTTCTTGTATTAAACATTGTTGTAAGGGTGCTATTTTTAGTGGTTTTTATTTTTTAATAAGACTCGAGAATATTAAAATATTAATGTTTTATCTTAAGTGCAGAACATAGCTATAAAAAAAATTTAATTTCTACCCGAGAATGTGTCGAATACTTAATGTATTCATGGTCCAGCAACATATTTTCATTTTGACCATATTGTTTTTTTTATATTTATGTAAATATCGATTTCCTTTCAGCATACCTCACATCAAATGAAACCTATCTGGCGCAGCCTCCCAACTCTTGGCTTGACGATTTCTTCGATTGGGCCGCGCTAGAGAGCTGCTGCAAATACTATCCGTCAAACTCGAGCTTTTGCCCCAATACATTTAGGGGTAAGTTTGAGATCACCATTTTGAAGGAATATGCATATCACCCAACTCATATCACTAATTTGCCTCTGCATTAGTGGATCTCCAATTAAATGCATATAATATATGATCAAAGATATACAATATATTATATTGTATATCTTTTATATACTTGTTTAGATACCACATTAGCCGTACTGAAAGGCGCAAAAAATGTCTACAAATATTGGTAGACTCGTGTTTCACTTAGGACAGTGTCCTTTGAATTATTGACGGATAACGTGCTCACGAAAAATAATTAACCTTTTGTATGTGAGAAGCTGGCAAGTGAACTGCAGTTTCACCTGATGTTAAGTGATAACCGCCTCTCATGGATAACCACAACTTCCGTATGGTGGTAGATGCGTTGTCAACTTATAACACATATGTTCCCACCTTAGAATAAAATATGCCCCGGCTACCTCACTCACCAAAATCGCTAAACGGAGAAGTATGACACTTGCACTTCACACCGCTCTTCTGTGTGGTCGTGGTACTTCCGGACGGAGCTGCCCATTCGCGCGACAGCGGTGGCCCTATCGCAGCCACTTGCGCTGAACGGGTCGTACTAATAAGACCGTTTCCGTATTGCAGGCTGCAAGAGCTGCAACATAGCGCTGCAGGGCGCGGAGCGGCGGCCGTCGGCCTCCGACTTCGGGCGCTACGTGCCCTTCTTCCTGCAGGACAACCCCACCCCGGCGTGCCCCAAGGCGGGCCACGCCGCCTACGCGCGGGCCGTCAACCAGCAGCGCGGCGCCGTCACCACCACCTACTACCAGGGCTACCACACGGTGCTGAAGAGCAGCCGCGACTACTACTCGGCGCTGCGCGAGGCGCGCACCGTCGCGGCCAACCTCACGGAGACCATCAACCGCCGCCTGAGGGAGCTCGGCGAGGAGAACGCCGTCAGCGTGTTCCCCTACTCGGTCTTCTACGTGTTCTACGAGCAGTACCTCACCATGTGGCCGGACACGCTCAAGAGCATGGGCATATCGGTGCTCTCCATCTTCATTGTCACCTTCGTGCTGATGGGCTTCGACCTGTTCTCCGCGCTGGTGGGTGAACGTTGATCGCCATCTCATCGTTATTGCCCTTAAACAGTAGACCCGTTCGAGCAGAATCAGCGACGTGTCTCCAAAAGACCCGCGTAACGTTTGTAGTCTGTATGAGTGAGGTAGCTGATAATCCACCTTCGAAGTCTGGCATTAATTCTAATTTTCCCCTGCTGTTGCTCCATTGGCGAGGTTCATGAATGATGGATCACTTAAAATCGTAAACGCGTGGTTGTGCATATTTGTAAAAAAAAATTAATATGAACATATTTGACATGTTATCCCATCATTATTTTATTTCTATAAATAAATAAATAAAAATATCTTTATTCACATAGACGCTTGCGCGTTCTTATGAAACGTCAAAATTTTACAAGAAATGAACACGTTCGTAAGTTACCACCGGTTCGGAAAGCAGTTTCTGTTGAGAAGAAACCGGCAAGAAACTCAACAGTTGCTCTTTTTAAAAAAAAAATCAGTTTACAATATAATAGTACATGTACAATAGTCTTGTTTTAGCCTACGTGAGTATCAACAGTATTAACCCCACACATTGGCGTCGTCAAGATATTCAGCAATAGAATAATAGGCTTTAGCCATAAGTTTACTTTTAATTTTTCGTTTAAATTCATCAAGTGGCAGACTTAATATCGACTGTGGGATTTTATTATACATGCGCACACCTTGCCCCATGAACGACCTGTTTACTTTTTGTAAACGAAACAATGGCGTAGTTAGTTTGTCCTTATTTCTAGTATTTAGTTTATGTCTGTCACTATTCTTTAGATAACTATTAATATTATTTTTAACATACAAAATGTTACAATAAATATATTGAGACGCAACAGTGAGTATATTAATCTCTTTAAAAAGGTCTCTGAGTGTATTCCGGGCTCCGATGTTATAGATTGCTATAGATTGCTCGGACAGCTATGACGATATAATATTAATCATATACAGACTAAATAAAGCAAAATGCGAAATGATATCAGAATGTCTGGCTGTGATTTTGAACACTGAAATTAAAAACAATTAAATGTGATAAAATCCGTGAGTTAGATTATTCTAAACATATGCAGTACCCATGTAAATACAAGAAATCATTAACCACAAAATGCCAATTAAACCAAAACCAAGAGTAAGAAACCATCTTCGCACTAATATACCGGTCAAGTGTTAATAGTTAATAGAAAAAAGTAATACTATGAAGCGGGCGTACAAGGAAAATCTTTTTTTCTTGTATAAATAAATCAATAATTTGATTCTTACACTTCAACTTTTGAAATGCTTGTGTTGTTTCAGGTGGTGGTGATAACAATCACCATGATTGTGGTGAATCTCGGTGGACTCATGTACTGGTGGAACATCAGCCTGAATGCGGTGTCACTTGTCAATCTGGTGAGTTTTCCCGCCATGCAATAATCATCTGAGCTTCAAGTCTATTACTGACAATCCATGGGTAGGCAAATTCCATTAAAAGCGCAGGTATTGTGGGAAGCGTTTTATCAATAATTTCATAACACAGCCATATCTTCAAACATCCCTGAACATTGAAGATTTTTATAGCTCCTATAGCTTGTCCTACTTTGTAATAACGCTCTTTTTTCCGTTTCCTTCCCAAATCAATTGAATTGACTTGATATTCGCTCCCAACATAGCTGTCGAATGGCAGCGTTCTAATATACCTATCATTACGAAGCTTTGCCAGAAATGAAAAAAAGCTAGGGCGAAACTTTGCCGGCTTCAGCTAGTTACCTACAGCTGAGAAACAATTAACCTTAAAAATTTTATATAAAAAAATGCACGAAAAGTTTTCACCGCTGCGGGACTGAACCCAGACAGGAAATCGAAAAATGTTTCTTGCGTTTTTTTTAGAAATCTTAATCTTACATGTTAAGTGCGGAGATTAGCACTCATCATCATACTCTTGCCCTTATCTCAGTTAGGTGGGGTCAGTGTTGGGCACACATGTGAATCGTGTCGTATGTGGTTTGGTCTATGTTTTTTACGACCGGTCGCTTGCCTGACGTCAACCCTCCTTGCGAAACAAACACCCACCTGAACAATTATTTGTGGGTCACACAAATATATGTCTCGTGAGGAAACCAAACCCACGACCCATGACGTCGAAGCTTATAGCTTAGTAACGGCGCCATCAAGTCATTGCGATTAGTGTTATAAAATGTAAATTCATTAAGATAACTATCCCATACCTTTACTCCTAAATTAATATCTTTTGAATCCATCCATCATAGGTTGCTTGGAAGAAATTACTTTTATTAATAAGACCAGTCATTTTGTTTATTTTACTTTTCGTGTGCAATAAAGTATAGACATTCATTCTTTCATTCATTCATGTAAATGAACGATCTTTCCAAAGGTGATGGCGGTGGGAATAGCGGTGGAGTTCTGCTCGCACTTGGTGCACAGCTTCAGCGTGTCCCCGGGCGCCACCAGGGAGCAGCGGGCGTCCGAAGCCTTGACCAGGATGGGCTCCTCCGTCCTCTCGGGCATCACGCTCACCAAGTTCGGCGGCATCATCGTCCTCGGCACCGCCAAGAGCCAGATCTTCCAGGTGAATGAAACTACCACTAAACAGACAGTAACAGCTGCTGGCCTATGTATACTGGATATTTTTAAAAAAGAACAATTGTTAAGTGTTTTGCGACTCGCAAGAAATCTTCTCAACAGAAACAGCTTTCCGGTGGTAACTTAAAAACATGTTTGATAGATATTTAATTTTTATATAAAATAAGATGTTTCATAAGAACGCGCAAATCAAACGCGTCTATTTAAATAAAGATAATTTGAATTTTCACTTTGTGTAATATGTCCCACAGCTGAGCAAAGGCCTCTGTACATGACCTGTACTCAATACAAAACGCGACCTCACCGTGGATTGGCAGACTTCATGTATCTTTCTAAATATTTTGTTATTATTTCGAAAATATGAAGGTTACGTCAGGATGTGCCTTCACCTTTGAGCATGATATGTGTCAGCACTTAAAATTAACTATTTCATTGATGCTGGCACCAGAGATAGAACTTAGGTTGCTGGAGTATATTGGAATAAAGTTAACTCCCCAACAATGAGCTATCACTGTCAAGCCTGAGAAATTTAAAATATATGAAATATAATTACATAAAACAAGAATATGTATTTGATAAGAAGTATAGTTATTTCAAGTCAGTGGTAATTGCCAGTAGCAAAGATCTAACAAATATTAAGAAAGTGAACCATGGCGGGATGCTTGGGAATGTGAAATATAGAAATTAATTTGTACAAATATTATGCTTTAAAGGAAAGTTCATGACAGGAAATAAATATGGCATATTTATATGGAAATATATATGCCATGGCAAAAGAAGCATAGAAAGGCCCGTGAGAAGATGGGATGATAAAATCAAAAATATCGCTGGTCCACATTGGATGGAAGTAGCCCAGAATCGGCGTAATTGACAAATTTTGGAGGAGGCCTTCACCTGTGAAGACAGGGTTCTTGCTCATTAAAATATTAATAAGAAAAATTTAAAATAACACTAGGATAAGTAAATTTATGTAACTAACTAGTAATAATTGTATTTTGCAAGGAATAAAAGCTTTTTTATTATTATGTATTATTATTATTATTATATGCCATATTTATTTGGAAATATATATGCAGATTTTTTTTATAAAAATATGATTGTTCTTTTTACACTTTTTAAATATCAAAATTCTTTTCCTTATCATTTTCCATTTGCGCAAGGCGACGCGTTACCACACCTGTATTGGATGTTCCACATCAAAACAAACTCTTTCTATATGATGAGTCCATGGCGTATTGAAGACGGGGATCATGGGTTCGATTCCTACACGGGAGTGAGTGTGTCCTGCAAAAATTGTTTCGGATTTGGTTATTTGTCCACATGTCTGTAAAACGTCCTTACAGCACAGGATAATGTTATACTACAGTAAGGGGATAATGTCCAAAGGAGCGACTCAAAAGATTTTCCAGGTCATTGGAACTTAGTACCCAACCTCTTCGACACAAAATACAATACAATCTCTCACACGTTATGTGGAATTTCCAGGTGTTCTACTTCCGCATGTACCTCGGCATCGTGTTGTTCGGAGCGGCGCACGGCCTCATATTCCTGCCCGTCATGCTCAGCTATATCGGTGAGTGGCTGAGAAACACACACACTGCACCGCCCCACAACACTTTAATACTTCAACATTGAAACGTAATGTAGAGAATCTAGACTTCAGCACTGCAGTATAATGTAGATAAGCGTTCTGATATTTACTGTACACCACATAACACCTCAACACTCCTGAAATATGTAATCGCTTACATTAGTTATTACTTTTCCATTAAACATTGATTTGGTAATAATAATTATTCTATATTACTATTGAATCAATAGTATTGATACTCACATTTTCAACCATTTGTTCTTTGTGAAAAACTATCCTTACTAATATTATAAAGGCGAAAGTTTTAAATTATTTATTAATTATTCTGTATGTATGGATGGATGTTTGTTACTCTTTCACGCAAATACTACTGAATGGATTTTAATGAAACTTTACAATAACATAGCTTATACATCAGAATAAGACATAGGCTATAATTTATATACATATTTTATGTATTTCTGTCTTTCTGTCTGAATGTTATGCCTTCAGCCTAATCCCTGCAGACGTAGTCGCGGGCAGCAGTTAGTGTACAATATTTTAAAGATATTGTACTGTATTATTAAATTTCATTCAAATCTTTACAGCCATTGCAGCATGCAGTGCGAGCTTTTACGCGTTTTTAATATTATGGATAGTTCTTGTATGTGTTTATGTCATAATAATTGATTCATAAGATATAAGATTTATTATTTACACATTACACTTATATCTTATTAAACAAGCCTTTGCACTTAATGTTAAAATTGGCTTCAGGTTATAGGCACAATAAATAATTTAAAAAAAATAGTTGCCACGAAGTTTCGTACTATACAGTGTTTCGTTAATACATTCTCTACCATTAGTGCATTAATTTATTTTCTAGTGCATTAATTTAATTTACATACTCATATACTACAGGTATTATCATATTATATAATACAGATTTAATTCTGTTAGCTTTATCTGAGCTGTTGTCTAAAGCCTTAGAATTTCATCAATCATTATCATTCAACCAACGCTTTACAAACCACTTTTTTCCTTTTTTTTTCTTTTTAATCTCCTGATTCTATGCATGCTTATTATTCCTTTTGTTGTTTTGATGATTTTTTTTTCTCCTTTTCTTTCGCTTCTTTTATTCATATTGTGCTTGTATATTGGACCTTTTCAGCAGTATGTTAACACATACTGTTGTTTTTAGTTATTAATATTGCTAGAAACATAAAATATATTGTATATTTTGTGTTTATCTACATACATATATCTTTGTATTTTGATTTTTGCGGGCGCGTCGATGCCAGGTTTAGTGCGTTTTTTTTTTTTGTTTTTGTTCTACAACATTTTTAATTTGCACTAACTAACCCATCAAGCATTGTATTAACAAGGTAATGGTGTTTTGTAATTAACATTAATTGCTTTTTATTTTCTCCTTTTGTTTATTTTCTTTTAACTTTTAATTTAACAAACATTAAATCTAATGAAATATTGTTGCATTTAATTCTTTTTATTGTGATGAAGTAATTGTTGCTTTGTAGCATGTGAAAAATATAAAATTATAAATGTATGAGAAATGCATACAATGTTGACATTTGTTGACATATGTTTTTGAAATTAGTAAATAATATGCCTAAGAAGACATTAAGATAATGTTTAAAATCTTAAAAATGGTAAATTTTTACATATAATCTAAAATAAATTAAGTTTATGATTGCAATTTTTGGAATTTAGCTTTAAAGTAATTGTTTTTAAAATAGAGTTTTGTTAAGAATAACACAAAACTATTAAAGTGTGTTTAATTTTACTGAACCAATTGTATAGTGTATATTTTCTCTATTTAAGATACATGGAATAACCTAATGTTTCATACATTACAAATTTGAATTTTGCTTTAATACTACACATTGAATCACAATTTAAGGGCTGTTACAAAAATAATAAATAATTTGTGACAGACGTCCAACGCTATATTAAGCTTAACTCTCAAACCGTGACTGGGTTAAACTTGTCGCGTGCACTAATATTGGTGGAATGCTGTGTTTCGTTGATTGTTGTCGTTATTTGTTTATAACACTTGATGTGCGAGTGACAGAGCCGTGAGGCAGGTAAACTGGTCCGCGTTTCAGGTTCGCCCATCAACAAACAGAAGCTGGCCAATCAGAGGCTGCGCGGGAACGAGATGGGCGTAGCGGAGACCTCGCTGACACGAGTAAGAGGGAACGACTCTTATAAGCAGTACAATTTCGAAACGCTTCTCTCGTGAGCCCCGACGCCCGAGAATGGACCTTGTCGCCATCGCATAGGGTCGGGATCGCGACGAACCGCCCCTTTCGGTTAGACTTGTAGTAGAATCGCTTTTATCATTAACTGTTTTATTAGAATCGTCGTGGAGTATTTTTATAAATGTCTAGAAGGCCTCCCAAAAGTCACTTGTACGTGTGACTCGTCGGGGGTAACATTTTTTCCTATTTATTAAAACTAACTCGACGTGCTTTTGTTAATATTTTTATTATAGTTTAACGGCTTGGGATTTCTCCATACAGCCTATTCAACGAAATTAATTTATCAATTACTTCGTTTACGACTTCAAACGAAGATTAATTTTATTTTTCATTGTATAAAGAAGATAGAGATTTTAAAACCGGTCCACCTTTTGCAAGGCGCTCGGGACATTTCGGTACCGTCGTACCAGACAGCTCGCCTGCCAAAAACGGTACGGGGCGTCGCGATAGTGATGTGCATTGTCCACTCTCGTGTCGTAGGCTGACGTGTTATTAGGTGTACGGTATTGGGCGAGTCGGGAACCGAAACCGCTTCCTCGAAGGCGGCTCACACTGAACACATGTTCACATGTGAGCCGCCTTCGTGACGTGTCTTTACGGAGGGCGGCTTCCTTCCCGATTCTGTTATATGCATTTACCTTCCCACTTTCAAGTGACCACGAATAATGGTCCGCTAACCTCATGGTGTAATGCTAACCAACTTTCGGTCGAAGGCACCTGTGATTGCAAATATTTATACATTAATTTATATATTTTTCTACACGTTCCTCGTTTCCCACGATTGGCATGTACTCGTGTAGACCTATAGATAAGTCATTCCTGTTTTTTTTTTTGCCTAATCGAATCTTATCACGTTCCTAGAGATTTTTTTTATTGTGTACATGTTGTCGCTACCAATTTAAATCCCACAAATACTAGTGGGATGTATATTTTGTCTGTGGACATTTTGACACCCCTGATAACTTAAATAGGTACTTAATTATGTGTAATCAGTGAATGGCGACAAAATTCTGTCCCTGTCAATTTTTTTTAAATTTCATTTGACATTCAGGGCTGTCGAATGTGGCATCGACGCTTTTTGCCATGATTTAATTGTCTCATTTATGCTTTTTTAATCTGTTTACGAGAATAGAGAAACGTCATGTAATTTATGGATATTCCTAAAAGGCAATGTCTTATTCTTTAATTATCTTCGAATTTTTTTATATTTATTTGTAGACGTAGCGTTTCGAATAGCCACTTTATACGAGTAGTGTGGTGGTGGGATAAAAAAAGAACAATTGTATCTTGTTGGACGAAAATGTTTGTACTTGTGAAAGGCAGAATTTAATTTTTTTGTTGGTAAATTTCATGTGTAGTTATAATTAAATGTCCTTTATTAATTTGTTGTGTTTAGTTATTAGTTATTTACTAAACCTTCAAAATCTGATATGGCAAAATAAAATTCTTCTCTTTCACATAAATCGGATAAGTTTTTATTGCAATGTTTTTATTTGCTAGTTAATATTTTTTTAGCATACTGTACACTGCACGGCACAAAAAAGACAAGGGATGCGTTTATGTTTTATAAAATGTTTTCTTCTTTAGTTAATGATAATATTACCTTTTTTTAAACAAACCCTTGTAAGTTTTTAGTACTGTTTAATGTAAAAAGCCGTGCAGATGTATTACCGCTCTATATGTATTCCAATCGTGTAAGGACAGCAAAAAAAATATGACACATATGTATATTATATGCATAATTTAATATTTTAACGCTTCTTAAGAAATTACTAAATAACATAACAATCGAATCACTTCAGTATTATAAAAGGCGATATGTTTGTGAGCGTTATATTATTTATTTAAAAGCTCCTCTAATTAAACCTCTAATTGGTCGTATCGAGTTTGTTGTAAGATGTTTCGTAATTTTCTTATGTATTAATCGTTGCACGTACGTTTAAGTTGTATTCTGTTTGTTTTTATTATCTTTTACAATCACCTTCCACCATTTCCCACGTTCAACTAACAATGGGCAATATAAGATCGGCGTCGGTGACTAAACAACGGCGGTGTTGGCAAAACCCCTACTGCTCTTGCTGTCTGTACTATACGAAGTGTAATTCTTGCAGGTACGCATGTAGAGCCCACAAGTGGTGCAATTGGGATGGGGAGGGGTTTGATTATGAACAAATGTTATTTATTCTAGGCGACATTCCTCGTCCGCTATTCGGCCGTGCGCAATTTTTATCGTATAATATATTTCTAGGCCCAATTATCCTTATGCGATAATCACGCGAAGAGATTTCGGTGAGCGTTCCTAGAAGTGTTTAGTGAATTGCCTAAGCCTTGTGATTTTAATGGGAACCTAACCCAATTTCTATGGGCACAGGGTATATTGTTGCAAACGATATAACACCGCCCTGGAATCTCCTACTTAAACTTAGTACTTATTTATAGAGGGTTCTTGATGTGTCCAAAGTTTATGGTTAACGATATGTATGTAATAGCATAATTTTCTTATTGTAAATGTAATTAAAGGTAAATTCGCTTACATGTTTACTTTTGTTTTATTTTTTGTTTTATAGCACCTGCATGTTTTGAAGGCACAGTACGGTGTTGCCAGTTTTCCTTTTTTTATTTTATTTTTTTGCATGATAATGCTGCCGCCATTTTGAAATTGAACCGCCATTGCGATGCGGGGCCGCCTGACAGGTAACGTCAAATAAATTGTAGTTTCATTGAATGCTAATTAATTTAAATTATTAAATCATACACGAATGTGTACATTAAGAAGGCGGCTCTCGGTCGCTTTATGGTTTACCATTTTGAAGCTTAAGTTTTACTCGTAAAGGTCCAATGTACAATACAGTGTAGGCAAAATGTTGTTCCGATACTAAACCTCTTTTCCTTTTTCCTCTATACTAAAGGAGCTCCTCCGCGCAAGTCAAAACAACGTAAGGAATAAATTTATTTAACAAGTATAACATATTAGCGATACAGATATAGATTATCGCAATCGAGAGACTATATCATCTAATGGACATTAATGCTTCACGAATACACGAAAGTAATTTGGTCAAAGTCACTTTGTTGGTTTTATCCATTTACATAAATAAGCTACTGAACCACGTAGATAGCTACGTGTAGAACAATATTATCTGAAATATGTAGTTTACATATTATCATAAAAACTTAAAAAAGTAGACCGTTTAAGTTACCGTTAAAGATTTTTGCTACTAAAAATGATGGGTAAAACCGATACAAAGCGGAACGCTTGCAGATTTTTATAGAAAAATAAGTATTCCTCTATAGTCCATTCGCATTAAGTAATGATTATAATTTTAAGTTTTGATTATAATTGTAGGATAAAGGTATATTCACAATGGAGTAAAATTTCAAAAACTTTGTATATCAAAACATTAAGTTTAATGGTTCCAAAAAAAAAAACAAATCGATAACCTTAAATTAAAGTCATTAATAATATTACAATTTAATCAGTATTACTTGACTCATGTTTCGTATTTATTATTAGAGAATTTTCTTCTGCGAGTTCCTATTACGTATCAAATTCCACAGCATTTTCCTTTCGTATTACGTGATCGCAGCATTTCTTCCAGTTCCAACGATTAGTGTCTATTGTCGTTATAAAGTCGTAGAACATTTCTTTCACATCACTCCTCTTGAACATGGAATTTTTATTTAATTAATCGTGCGAAGGTCTACCTTGAACTTGAATATAAAATTTTGTGCTTACTAATTGGTTGGGGGGGAGGGGGGGCGTTGTTAGGGCGGCAAAGAACAATGACTCACAATAGATAGGGATGGCGATCTCAAATCCATTAATCGAAGAAAGATTTTTTACACCTCGATTTTTTTTATGAATCGATTCATCAGGTTACGATTCGAATCGATTTAAAAATCGATCTTTCTTTGAAGGAATCGCCATCCCTAACTCACAAGTTTCTTAACGCGAATGGACTATAATACGCAAATTCATATACACACTCTTTAAGTATTCGAAATAAGTTCCACGAAATATTTTATACCCACGCTTAAATATTTCATACTCAATTCGAAATAATTCATTCAACTAATTCATCAAATATCATCTTTAAAAAAAGTCAATAATTTTTAATGATTTCTTTCACTAAGTGACTTTATCACCTACAAAATTTCTAATGTAGTATGCCAAAGAAAGTTGTTGATCGGTTACGGTGGTTATCGGTACCATATAAAAAATGGCACACAACGCCTAATGCATATTATGTTAGCTTTCCACAAATAATAAAGAAGGAACACCGTTAAAGTTTAGGACGTCATGAATAGTAAATACATTGTTATAAAGGATTCGATAGATTAATATTATGTCAGCACATGATTAACATTTATAATTTTAATGCTATAAGGCAGTATTTTTTTTGCTCCCCCATATCCCTCTCTCATAATGGCGGTCATCTTTAAATTGATATATTTTTAAAATCATAAAATATGTCACTAGCGAAAAAATCGTATAGATCACGACGATGTAATAAAAAATACTGAATTTCCACATTTTTTTATGAACTCATTATTTATGTCATACAACATAAAACGAATATAATAAAACAATTTTAAAATTAATATAATAAGATAATTTTAAGTCGTACTAAGTAAAATATAACCGGGCTTACATTAGGGCCTTTCCTCATCTATATCATTCATTTTTCATATAAATATAATTTTGTACCACAGAAAGCTAGTTGAGTGTAAATAATTAATTGCTGACCTTTCTCCGCTAAAGCACACGCTTTGTATCAAAACACTTACAACGGTTATTTTAATGATCAACCTGTTCATGTATTGATGACACAATTACAAATCACCACACGAAGACAGGTAAGTGAAAATTGTACTAATGTATCACCGCCCTTTTGGGAAAAACAGTTCTCGTAATATATTTTAATATATTGTTGCCCATTATATAAAACAATGACGCCATTATAGAGGATTCAAGCGCTCTTTGGTAGCGGTACAGCATCTGGTAAGAGTCGAATTTTGGCAATTCACATTAAAATGACGCGCAGGCGAACAATCTATTTAATGAAGGGTGTATTTTTATTGTTCGATAGGACATTCGATTTGTGGGATATTTATCAAAACGACTTGAGACTCGTATTCGAGGAACCATTTCACGGGTTAATAAATAAAGCATTCTGCTGCAGAAAGATGAATAAATAGTTTCGATTAAAATGTTCTAGCTTACCCGAAGCGAGGGCTTGTGAAATAGCGTTATAAACGTTATCGTGTGGTGAATTTGCTGTCCTATGCGATCCCCGCTTGTGCGAGTGCGTTCGCGTCGATATAAGTACACAAGGGTGGTTTCTCGCCAGGCATAACCAGGCGTCGGGGACGATGGCGAGTGTCGAGACGCGGCCAAACCTACGGCAGTCTAGACGCGACGCCGCCGCCCCACGCCACGGGCAGCTCTGAGCCCCTCACCAACGAGATGTAGAACCACCGTAGTCGGCATTCGCAACTGTTACCCGCCCAAACCTACACACAGCAATGATTACAGCGACAGGATTTAGAGTACAGCAACTACATATCTATGTGCCAACTGGTGATATAGAAATCAGGCACTGGCCAGTTTATGAGTAAAAACATAGAGCAGACATAACAGTTTGAACATAGACAATGTTTACATTTTCGCGGGCTTTTTATAACAGATGTCTTCACGAGTCAATCCTCTCTTCGAAATCTGTGCTTCAGTACAGACCATTACGTTCGTTTTTTTTAATTCTTATGATGTGTGGATTTAATTCACATTTTAAAGAAATTAATAAAACTTATAATTGGTTGAAAATTGATTGAATTGTAAAAATCTCCGTTAAACGTTCGGTTTGTTATTAACTTCAGTATTGTGACATATTCTAATGTTAGAAACGGAAAGCTACAGATGCATGTTAAATATATACCTATATCCAAAGAAAATCTACTAAATACGGGTCACGAACAGTAGTTTTAATAAGATGTTGCTTCTAAACATGACAACAAAAGAGAAATTATCATTTGATAAAGATTCAAAAGGTAAACCATTTGTCTTCGAGCAGATGTAGGTTTGGGTAATTACAGATGCGAATCTCGACGGAGGGAAATTGAAGAAATAGGATCAAGCTATTGGACATTAGTGATTTAAATAAGTGATGCTAATATTGGATATATATTGTTAACATGTGAAGAAATTTACGACCTGTTTGTAAACCTTAAAATATTTGGTACTGCTTCGAGTGAAAATTTATCCGAAAATATAATCGATGTGCTTATCGGTTTCTCTCTTTATAGAGAATATTTTGACTACAAAAAAACAATTATTATCCAAGAATCGCAAAGTAGAATAGAAGAAGTGGAGATATTTTCAGATCGTATACGCAGTCTTCCACTTCCAGATTTCTATGAGAAGAGCTAATAAGAAATACATCTTTTTATCCAAAGGCTATGTTTAATGATATTTAATGAAACATAATTCTAATTGATATTTTTTGTTTAAAATTTTAGTTCTTACTTTCTAATAATTTGTCTCGACTTACATATTGTGATATTTTCAAGTATTGAAAGCTGTATACTAAATTTATAATTTTTTCTTTATAAATAATAATAGTTTACGCGTTAGTTTTATTCCAGCGTCTTGAAAATAAGTTAAGAGAAGTTAAACTTCTAATTTTTTACCACGAACGAAATAATCAAAAAATTTTGTATTCATCGAAAATTGATATTTATAAGGATATTAAAATAATTCTTTAAAAATAATTCTATTAACTTGTTTGAATAGTTTTATTTTATACGACGTCGTTTCGAGTTCTCGTAATTTTATAGGGGTATATAGTACATTAAATAAAGAGTAATTAGAATTCATAGTTATCAATGGGTGTAATCCAAAATATTTATCGATAGAGTTACTTAAATTACTTGTGATAAATAGATATTGTATGTCTGTTCTTTCTATCACAAAACATAGAAGCTGTTAGTGTGTATTGTGTACCTTGTGGTATATTCTATTGATATTAAAACTATAAGTATAATCAAAATATCGGTGTTGTAGTTTTTAGAGAATATGTGTATTTTATGTATTAGTCGTAAGCGTCCGCTGGCCTGTGCTGTTTTAAATCGAGCAACAACTCCTTTAACCAACTTTGAGAGGCTTCTTTGATGCATAATGAGTTACGGTTCAATTAAGAACGTAGGCCTAAGATTAAATTTTCCACAGAATACCATCGCCTAAGATAAGAATTTGGCATCATTTGTGTTGTTCAATAAAAGCTCGGTTGATAAGTATGGAGAGGCGTGGACAAAATTCAACTGTTATTTTTTTTTTAAAGGTTATTGTGAATAGGCCGACGTCATAGAACATAAAGAAATGGAAGATGACATCAGATTTGTCCAGTTTATTTTTACGTTTGTAATCCGTCGTCAACGAATCCGTTGTTTCCACCACATTGCAATGATTATTCAACAGGTCTGTGGGCGCTTGAGCTATATGAATTCTTGTAACTGTTTGAGATAAGCCATTTGGGTAGGATTAAATATGGAGTCGATCATTTCACTAATCTTCCGCGAACGATCTTTCCTTCAAATATCTACCAGTGTTTGATTTAAATCGTTACATCGATAGGAGTGGCCAAGCATCCGTAGTTTTTGTTATCGATGCCAAGTAAAGTCAGATACACAGTGTTGCGCTGTTCGATCTCGGATGGACCAAAAATATATTTTTTTTTTAATTTTCTTTTTTATACATATACTATTTTACTGTAGTGATAATATTATTCACTCTATGTATTAAACGAGGACTAACATTCAGTAATGTTTTTGAGTAAATAAAAATTGAAGTGCTTTGGCCTGTAGTGCTTGCATTTTGTCTTTTAAAAATATATTAAGAAATAAGGTGAGGCAGTTCATAGTTATTTCTGTTGGAATAAGATGGTTCTATTGATAAATAAATTTATTTGATTATTTTTCCTCTAATAAAAATGAGGCGATTATAAATAAATTGTGAGAGTTATAGCAATTTTTGAGTAAGTTTCTTTAATTAATGAAGGATAGGCTGTGTTAAAAATTTTCTGCCAGTGACGAAATAAAATCTATTCCTGAAAACTTAGTTAAAAATTTGTTTGAATTGAAACAAAAATTATTAATTTCTACATATTTTACAAATTTAATCATTTCTACATATTTTAATAAAATTGTTAATGTTTCTATTTTGCCTGTGCCTTTTAAAAGTCAATTTGCGCGAAGCGTGGTATTAATAGCTAACAATATAGCTGCAATATTTCAAGATTGAATATGCCGCAAGTCTGATTTGCAACTGGCAATGAATCGTCAAACATAATCCTTATCATAAGAAATTACTATATTATAAATTTTCTGCTTTGTGTGCCGTAGGTAACTTTTCTATGCATTTAACTTATTCTCCGGGAATACTCTTATTAATATATAATAATCTTCAATAATAACTATTTTTAGATTGTGTACTGTATATACTAACCACTTTTTATATTAAATATTTTAGGTCACGTCGAACTATATTATGACATAGTATTTACCATAACCGCTACTAAAATACCTGTTAATAATCGAAATAGGTACGTAGAAAGGGTAAACTCAAATGATTTATATAATCTGTTATGTAGACAAGCTGTCAAATGTTTACATAAATATATCTATATTATTTTCTTTTGAACTGTATATTTAGTCCTATTTGATTGTATATAATATAGAAATATTGCCGGGATCTACCAGGCTGCATATCCTAGAACGTCTCGAAAGTAAAAGCTTTTTTTATTGTGATATTACTTGAACTGATCTTTTTAGAACACTACTAGAATACTACTTTGGCGTCATCACATTCTGCCCTATTGGGCCGAAATGTAACACGTGACGCTTTGGAAAATATCTCTAAGTTATTTACGTATTACATTGGCTATTTGGTTTTGGGGATATTTAATACAAAATTTAAATCAGAGTTTTTTAACAGAACAGACTCGTTACTTCGAAAGGAAAGAAAGGAAGAAAAGAATGTTCCCCTACAATTTCCTTCTAGCATTATTTTTCATATGTATAATTTTCTATCGGATATCGCTTTGATGTTCAACAGAAGTTGAACCAAAATTAAATTCATCACTATAAGGGTGGTTAGTATTTATATATTTTTACAATCCGTCTCTGTAATTGAAATACAATAAACAAGAGACGTGTTCATACGAAAATTGCAAACCATAAAATTTAATTCAAAAGATTTTATGTTAAAAATTTATAATGATTTGAATGAAAAAAAAATATATTTGTCCAAGGGGTATTATAAATAATGTCCTAAAATTACAATTAAATGGTAAAAGAATGAGTAAATTATTATTACATGTATTTATTTTTGTTCGCATGAACACGGTTTTTTGGATAATGCTAACCACAATTTCAACGTATTCAAGATCTATGTATTTGCATGTAAATAATAGTGCATTAACAGCATTCTTCGACGTTTTATAACATCTAATTTGTATATTTGCTATTGATTGTGTACATAAAGCGTTTATTGCTCTTTTAATGGATATCTGTAATAGTATTTGAAATAAATGGGCAAAATGGAATCAGGTGTTTTATTAATTTGAGCGCGGACCCAGAGTTTTAGAAACCGTACAGCAAGCTAATTGTAAATAAGAAAATATAGTTTATAAAAATAATTTAAAGTTATAGAAATAATTTAATGAAATATTCTTTAAAATATAAAGTCAAATTCATTGTAATTGTAACTGTAGAGGACCTATATAAAATTAATCGATGGAGAAAAAGGTAGTAGAGGACCTATATAAAATTATCCGGCGGAGAGGAAGGTAGCTGAGGACCTATATAAAATTATCCGGCGGAAAGGAAGGTAGCTGAGGTCCTATATAAAATTAACCGGTGGAGAGGAAGGTACTAGGTGAGGCGAATATTATGGAGAAGAGAGGTGTATAAAATGTGTTGAGCCAAGGACTCAAGGAGCGGGCTCGTTAGTAATCAGAGTTTCGTGGATTTAGGATTTAGTTTTGATTATATTCAAAATAGAGTTTCCTTTATTCTTATTTTGACCACGCCTCGTACAAGCTTGTCTATTTATAACTTCGCGCGTCTTATCACGCACTATTTCTGCGTGCGATGTTGCGATGATTATTTCTGGCGGTATTATCCACGGGCCGGTGTTAAATTTGGAGGCGCATTGCAAGTGACGTCACACGTCATTCACTGTTACGCTGTATTAACTGATGTTTTTGCTTTCAGTCCCGAGACTATTAAAGCTCCAGAAGTGTTCATTGGCGTATTCATTGAAAACCGCCAACAAAGAAAAGAAGAAGAAGACTATTAAAGTTTCATCTGACGCAGAACTGTTACGCGCGACTTATTAAGCATCAAGCAACAATTTTTTATTAATGTATTAATGAATAATAAATTATTAATAATTTTTTATTTGAAATATATAATAGTTCAGATACATAAAGCGTAAAGATTTAAAACTCGTATAGTTTCCGTTGCATTTTCGTCGACCAAAGCGTTCAGTTACCCCTTAGTAGTAATTCTGTTTGCGCTGTAGCTCCCATGTGGTCCCGTATTAATTTAATTTGTATTGTAAATAAGATTCGGAAGATATATCGGGCAACTCCTCAAGATCCTAGAGAAAATGCATAGCAACTGAACGTTCAGTTGTTTTACGAAACGGAGCTGTTATGTCTACAATTCCACTTCACGCCGGTCTTCTGTGTGGATTGTATACGTCTAGGTAAAACGTTTTACTTTTCTAAAATAATAAAACGCATACAATAATTTTATTAATGAAACACAGTCATCGCATCGTCGTTCCGAAGCGAAATTGTCTCGCATCAATAATAAATAAATACATAAATATATTCAATTGAGTGACGTCATCACAGTTCGAAGTACGATTTCTCACTTGGCGATGCTTCGACCGCGGGCTGCCTCAGTTCAGTTCTCGGCTGCAGCACTAAAAGCACCGGCACTAGCAACTAAAGTTCTAAAGGCCCGAACAGGTGTTTCGCTGGACAGTCCTCGCTCTGGTCCCCGAGGAATTGAGCGAAAAGCTCCTGATACCGGGACAGCGTGATGCCGCCCCGTCTCCGATCGTCGTCCTGAAAATTGTATGAAAGTGGAACATTCTTAGTGATATAAGACAAAACAGACTTCAAATCTTCACTCAATGTTAAGTGATAACCGCCGCCCATGGACATTCGCAACACCCGTAGGGTTGCAGTTGACCAACTTTTAATAAATTGGTGTCCGGCTACCTCACTCACCAGATTAAATGCTGAAGTGTAACAATTCCACTTCACGTCGGTCTTCTGTGAGGTCGCGGTACTTACGCGGCACCTGCCCATTCGTGCTATAGCAACGATTTGTGGCTCCACACAATGCGTTTGATTATTGTATTTGTACTTAAAAGTCGAGAGTTGGTGGCTCCCAAATATCCAAACAACAATCCGCGTGTTTGCAAAGCTAAGGAACAGTTCACAACGCGGCACACGCCGCTATTGTAGTTGCAAACCCCAGTTGGACAAGCGCCAGGCGATAGTTCTCGTTAACGGTTATTCATTTTGTTGCATAATTTTATTCGGCGACGCTATTTGCGGTATCTCTCGGGGAAGCTTCTAATATGTTTGGCCTTTTTTCACACTGTAAAATGGATGCGAGACTAAAAGTGCAATCGTAATTACGTAATTCCAATGACTACATAGAATTGCTCGAGATTGGAAATATTATATGATTTGTCTCAAAACATTTCTTTTTATGTGATAACCGCCACCCATTCACCTTTGCAACACCCGTGACGGTGTGTTGCCATCTTTTAAAGTGGGCCTCGGTTAACTCTCACCAGATGAAACGCAGGAGCTTCACGCCGTTCTTCTGTTAAGTCATGGTAATTAACCGGACGGAACTGCCCATCCGTGCAACAGCGTTGTAAGACTGTTTCGTGGCTAAAATATTAACTCAGTAAAACAACGCTCCAACATCTTTTACTTCAAACGGTAAAACATAATTTTTGGTGTTCAACTTTGTTTTAAACGAGACAGGTGGCATACAAACGAAAGAATTATATAAATCCGTCAAATTACCTATAAATTTGCGGCAATTGAAGGAACATTTACTTTAACTTCGATTTTATGAAATTATATTTAGTGAAATATACAACTGTACAAACTAAAGTAACGGCCGTATAGACCCAGGATATGTCCCATTGCTGGGCTGGCCTTCTCTGCATAGAAGTCGTTAGGGCATAGTCAAGAAACATATATAAGTGTACTCATATAAATAAATTTGTAGTATTTTATTTGTGTCTCCTCAACTACTGTGCCCGTTTAATATTAGAGCATAAATTACTCAAGCTGAAAGCGCTTATTAAACGGTCTGATTACCATGACATAAATCTCTGTGACATCATCTGCCAAAACTGTGCGCGAAAATTCCGCGATTCGCAACTGTATTTTATTAATGGTTTCACTTAAGTCATAATATATTATTAATGAATAATTATTTTAATATTGAAAGAAAAACAAGTCCATTCCATAATTAAATTATACCAAGAAAAACATAGTTATTATGTATCGATCTAGTTATATCGTGTATAAAATGACGTGACGATATATTATGATGACTCCGAGGCGCAGTTGCCAAGGTTATTGGCTTCGACGTCGGTGGTCGTGGGTTCCACGTGGACTCACAGATAGTTAATCCGCCTCTGGGTGTTTCTCCACGTGAAACTTATATTTGTAAACACGTCCTTACATTACAACACAGGATTATGTTATCCTAAAGTAAGGGCATTGTTAAAGAAAAAAAATCAAAATCAAAACTTACATTTAATAAAGAGTAGAACGCTTCGTCTATGATTTTGATGTCTTCCAACACCATCCTCTGCACGCAGTCGTATCTGTACTCCTCCAACGCGAGTATTCCATCGTTATTTAAATCTATCATCCTGAAATTTGACTCTATGAACGCTTTCATCGCCTGCGGGAAGTCCTCGTACCGTCGACCAACGCAGCAATTCATTACGGCCTGCTTGAACTCGTCCACGGTTACGATACCATCCTAAAAATCGTCTAAGTACTAAATCAAGATGGCTGACGCTGAGATATGGTAAAAAAGCGGGAAGCGTGCGCATTGGCCGCGGTGTGATTTTTAATAAAGCGCTGCAAATGCAAACAACGAAACAACCCGAGGGTCTGCCGAAATTATTAGGAAAAATGTTTTTGTTAGGCATGCAGAATAAAATTTTGTTTCCAAAAATAATAATAAATTTTGACGGGAATGAGTTTCATTTGTAAGTGTTCTGTTGGTACGGTGTGCAAATTTCCTTGGCGTTGGCGTTTCTACCCTTGGACCATTTTAGCACTATCTGCGTAGACTATGCTTAATTAATTATTTTCTTTATTATCGTTCACATTTTATAACGTTACACCTTAGAGAATTAAAAAAATCGAAAAAACATCTAATACAATGTAAAGCAAATTTTAAATGAAATTACTCGTATATCGAAGGATTTTACCGTATTACATATTTTAAATTTTAGTTTTATTTAGTAGTTCTTACGTACAGATAAACCATAACATAAGTTTTATTTTAAATGCATCATACAACCTAGATAAAGTAATTTTGTGTTTGGCGAGTGAAACGTGTTTTGCAGTGTGTGTGCGAATAATTACCACCGCCGATATAATTATTTTAGATCGTATATACACATCGATACAACTAAAAGCAGAATTGCAGGCGTATCTATGTCTAAAGGGACACAAGTCTTTTAAAAACAAAGTTTAGTTGACCATATATTTAGCGCATTTAAATTGTTGTCTTTTAACCCATCTTATCTATAAATCTATAACTCTGTTGAATGATATGCATAGATTATTAAGAAAAGTCAGTTTATAACAAAGCATGAATTTCAGAAAGTTTAATTACATAATTGGACAAAAAAACCCGTTATTCAAATTAGCTCGAGATATTCTTGTTTGCCAATCTTTTGACCTTATGAAACGTCAATATTGATACGATTTACACAATTGGTAATTCGTAAGGCCACGCATCAGTCTTTTCTGTTGCACCACTGGGCAGGTCCGTCCGTGGAAACCACGACCTCAGAGAAGACCGGCGTGAAGTAGAAGTGTTATACTTCTGCGTTTCATCTGCCGAGTGAGGTAGCCGGGGCCTTTTATGGCGTACAAAGATATTTGTATTTGTTTGTTTGCAAAGTTTTGTCATATAAAATCGTTAAAAGTACATGGAAATTTTAACAAAACCGCGTCAACGTCAAAACTTGTGTCACTTTAGACGTCGAGCGGAGCGCAGCGCTTGCGGTATGTTGTGTGTGATAACCGACATAGTCCGGCACCTTGTCGAAGTCCGCCAGCTGGGCGATCTCCTCCCACAGGCTGAGCATGATGCGCTGGTACTTCTGCAGCCGCGAGGCGCTGCACTCGCCCTTGCCTTCCAGCACGCACGAGCGCAGCGCCAGACAGTGGAAGTCGTGCGCGTCCAGGTACCCGTTGCAGTCGATGTCTGCGGGAGACGAGTAAAAAGTAAGGTAACAGCCTTTAAACGTCTCTGTCTGTAGAGAGGTTATCATGGCAGAGTCCACCACGCGAGCCCACTGTGGATTGGCGGACTTCGCATATCTTGGAAATATTTTTTGTTGTTTTCTCGAAAATATGCTGGTTTCCTCGCGATGTTCTCCTTTACCTCTTTGTTTCCCTTTATTTAATATACCGAGATCGCGGGTAACTATGTCTTAACTAAGTCATAATTGCCCGTTGCGGGTTTTGTATCTTTATTATTTTATATTATTATTTACGAATTCCCAATCAGTCTGAAAAATTTTACAGAAACTGTTGTTAACTGTATTCGTATGTTATATGTTCATATACACGTACAAATTTTACAGATACAGCCTAAAATTATTACTTGTACTCGTAGGTATTTGGATCATTAATTAAAGTACGCATGCTTGTATTTTTACTCCAAATATGTTACGTCTCCTACATAAAGGCAAGGGAAAGAACTAAATATAATACAGTTCACGTCTAGTTAACTGCGCGTATCTGTATAAATGTCTGGGTCTGAAGAGGTTTCAATTTTGTTTTTAGATCAGTTAATGGCATCTTGAGGCCGAGAAGCGCCACACGTCGAGGCCCAATACACTGAAACGACTTGTAGAACAGCTGTTTACTTGGCAGATACATTACTCCGAGAGCGATTGCGGCCGCATCTCTGTAAACTCTTTTCACGACGTTGCTGCAATTGTGCTTTATATACATTACACCAATTGATCTTTCTTCTTTAAAAATGAGACACTCATTGAATGGAGTCGGACCCCGTGTTGACCCATTCACTCTTAAAAATCTTGGGAATAATTAAATATTATTGGGTACTAATAATAATCGATAAGAGAGATAAATCCGTAAAATTAGTTTCATTTATCGATAAGAGAAGGTAAAAAAATAAGACGATAATAGACTTGTTAAGCAGGTTTGGTAGTAGAGTAAAGTAAAGTATCAGCCTATACATGTCCCACTGCTGGGCAAAGGCCTCCTCTGTACAGAGGGTATCAGGGCATAGTCCACCACGCGGCCCTACTGCGGATTGGCGGATTTCACATATCTTCGAAATATTTTTTGTTATTATTTCAAAAATATGCAGGTTTCTTCACGATGTTTTCCTTCACCGCTGAGCACGTGATAATTCGCACTGGCACTTAAAACTAACAATTTCATTGGTGCCGGTACTGGGGAACGAACTTAGTTTGCTCGAGTATATTGAATTAAAGGCGAGCGTCCGGACATTGAGCTATCACGGTTGGTTATTATCTAAAGAAAAGGAAAGTAAAATGAAATGTGAACAAAATTATAAAATTGATTTGGTTACATTTTAGTCTAAAGAGTCTTTATTGTTAACAATGCCACACATTTAGTGAAAGCATATTACCAATAAAGTCTCAAGGAACTATCGTATCTTCAGATTTTCGTTTTAAGGAGCAATTTATTGACTTGACTTTGACTTTGACTTTGAAGTTATATTAAATCACAACCTGCATACTGTTTCAAATTATATTAAATATTCAGCTTTAAAGCAACATTCTAAAATATATAATCTTGCTTGAGGATCTAACTTGGCCCATAAAGCAATTTCACCATTCACAATACGATCTGTCAAATCGAGAGCAGCAGGATATACTACCTGGCTCCTTTTTCTTCTAATTTACACTCGGAACGGGCTTACACTACAGATCCGGCATGCGTTCCTCTTGGCTTTGCCGTAAGGGACCAAACCACTACTTAGCCCTTACGTTGCAACTAGACGAGAATCCAGTCAGAAGGGACCCCTTATACCGACCCAACGGTTGACCAGGACACCCAACCATTCATGAAGGTTTAGCGATGGTTATAAACTATTAATAACATAAAATTTTCTTTACAAACGAAAAACAAAAGCGACTTCAAATAGCTCGCTCTGTATTCATTTTATAATTGATTTTGAGGAGATCCTTAAGTATATCCGGATTCGAAGATCCAATACCAATGAAATTAATATGGGACCACATGGGATGCACCATCTTTCAAGAATCATCAAAATCGGTTTTCTCGGTCAAAAGTTCTGAGATAACAAACAAAAGAAAAAAAAAAACAATACAGTCGAATTGAGAACCCCCTCATTTTGAAGTCGGTTTAAAATAAGTTCATTTGTTTTTCATGTGGCGATCGCCTTATTTCCCAAAGCCAATATCTCATTGACGCGGTTCAAATCCGTTCTGACTCTGGCAGACAGCGATTCGACGGCATTTTGAACTGAACACGATCTAAGCCGTATTTCACAACGTCTCCGCCGACGCCCACTTGGCCCAGAAGACAATGCACGCTCACAAATCGGCAATGATCCATGCCAAAATATACGTGGATCTGTAATATAATCACAAATCATTTTGCTGCTCACACGCTGAGGAAATACTCCAACAGTTAGTATGTTCCATTAGAACGCTGAAGAAACGCACCGAAATAGAACACGAAATAAATGTAAACAATTATGTCGAAAAATACCACAAAGAAAGTCTAATATCCAAATTCATACCGTCGCGTACATCTGTAGTCAAAGCATTCGATTTCAGGTGCTAAGACATAATTCTCTCTTGCCTTGATTGTTCCATTCCCGTGCTGAACGCTTAGGATTACTTGAAGGAGCACAGGATAGAAAATTATTAATTAGAATTGCATGTCATGGGTCACGCCCGGTTTCAGAAACACTACAATGAATCTAAAATGAACTCTACGATAATCAGTGTTTCAGAAACCGAGAGTCAGTAGCAAATTTAAATTTAAGGATTTTTCTATTTTGATATGAATTGAATTTTATTAATAATGAATATTTTGAGCATAAATTCTTTGAGATACACGTCCAATTACGAGGTTTTTTTTCCGTATGTAATTATTTTGTGACAATGCGAGCCTCGATGCAAGAGTATTTTTTTAATTGAGAAGGTAGCAAGCGCGCTGGCGGTTCACCTGATGGTAAGTGAATACCGCCGTCTACTTTGTAAAGATGAAACTTTCTGAAAACATTTCACGATCATTTCTCCTGCACGAACATACGGTCTTTCTTGATGATATTCTTTAAGTCTCGATTTTCATCACACTAGATGTTTGACTAGACAATAGATCTTAGCAGCAACAAGTCTGACAATTTAGTAGGCAGGTTTGGCACTATTACTACTGGAAATTATAATTTTTTGAATATCTTCTGGGTATGGGTTTGGAATGGGGTTCTGGTAGTGGATGCATAAATGTCTATATAAACGTTTTTATTTTAAATTATGATTATTTTATTTCCATACAAATTGAAAAAAACCTTAGCGCTGTGTTGGGTGAGTATCAGTAAATTTATATATCTAGGATATGTATTTTAGAGAAAGAACTTTTTTACGTTGTTTTAATTGATTAATCATCGTTATCATCGTTATTTCAGCCTGTTTGAGTCCACTGCCGAACATAAGCCTCCTCCACAAACTGCCACGATCCTGAGCCACTTGCATTCATAGACCTTCCGCACATTTGCGGGAACTCGATGGATTTGCAATAATACTGTAAAAATCTTTTAGTGCTAGTGGCTTTCTGGAAATAAAAGGAGTCTATAAAATATTTAATTATATATCTAAAATGTGTTAAATACACATTCTTAACGATGTTTGACAGAATGAAGTCTCTTGCATTGGAACTCGTTAAAAGATCCTAAAATTAACATTGTTTATATGAATGTTTCCAACACGATGAATAATATATAACATAATAACTACAAAGTGAAGTTATTTTACGTATTTTAAATATCTGTTTTCGATATGCGTACCGCTATTTAAATGAGAAATATGAAATTTTATTTTGGGATCCCGTTACTGGCCAGTGTTCTACCGATTTATGTTCAGTTTAATATATTGCAACTTACTTCATCATTACATGCATACAATCGGCAAGTGTCTATTATCAATAGACTATATTAGAAATGATAGTATGCACTCTATTTATGGGGAGAAATACGGTTACATGAGAACCGTACAAAAAACACTCACCATAGAGATATCTTACGACAAACGCGACCCGATTGTCCCACGAGGATGCCATTCTGATGAACCTATATCAATCCCACTGTCTGAATCTCGCGAACAATGTTTTAGACAAATTAACAAACGAGCGAACGCGGTGCGGAGCGTTCCCGCGTCGACTAACAACTGTGCCAGAAATAAATAAAACGAAATTCGACGTTTCCCCTCGCGACTTATCGACTTTTAGTCGAAACATCACTATTTCTTTGAACAGTAACATATTATTTATTTATTTACTTATTTACAAAAGCATACACCATCATTAAGAGCCGTGATAGCTGTGTCCGGGCGCTCGCCTTTATTTTCATTTACTCTAGCAACCTGAGTTCGATCCCCGGTGCCAGCACGAATGAAATTGTTAATTTTAAGTGCTGAATTATCACATGCTTGGCGGTGAAGGAAAACATCATAAGGAAACCAGCATAGAATGAAATTCTTTCGTTTCTGTAATTAAGTCTTCGTGACCCATCAATAAGACCCGACCGATGTAATCAATATTATTTAAAATATTGTATTTTCTTGTGTCGCTAAGCAATAGGCTGTACGGGTTCTGGCCTCGTATTTCGCTTTTTAAGGGTAGAAATGAAAAATACGCGGGGGCCTCTCATAAAGGTAGGTGGTCGCACGTGGACCTCCGCAACACCGGCAGTCACAAATGCGTCGCCGGCCTTTAAAGATGGAGCAGGATCGATCAGGAAATGCCGCTGGCGACAATTGATTCAATTGAAGTTATTTTGTATAACATGTCCTTTGATTTGGATTTTTTATAAGTTTCAGTCGTGACTGGAGCCTCAAGCCACTTTGGCAAAACATTAATAATTTTACGAGTACTTATCTTATTTGCTTCAAAATATAAAGTAATGACTATGGGTATGGACAGACCTTATCTCTCGCACAACTAGTATCTCTTTAATAAATGTTGATGTGATAAAATAGTTACAAACATCACAACGAGAACAAACATCGATATTTATCAATTCGTTATACTTACGGTACTTTAACTCGCATCTCTAAATCAGCCCCGCCTCCAACGTGAAATAAAATAATTCACAGCGAGCGCATTCGTGGGTTACGCTATCTGACGAAATGACACCCCGTTTATAAATACCCAAGCTCTATACACTCAAGAGTTTTTTTGTTCAGTCAAGCAATTAATTGTTGAAAGACCCATTCCGTATTACTTCTACTGTCCGATTTCTATGTTTATTAAAATAAAATGATGATATAAACGTAAAAGTAGATAAAAAGTAAGTCAAAGCAAGAAAAGGAAACTACTATTAGTAACACGTTAAGTGCAACTTATTATTATTCTTCTTCTTTCTTTCTTTATGGCTTCTATTTAGAGAATTCTGCCAATGTCAAGTCAGTCATGGGAGTGACAAGAGAATATTTTTTGTAGAGAAGACGAAAAACTTTTCGTCGTCTTCTACAACAAAAGACACAGCATATAATAATCCACCACCAGATTTAAGTAATAATTTTACAGTTTTATCTTATTATTAACTATAAAGTGACATAAACGTTAAGTGCAAGTAAAACTTTGTACTCACTACTGAACTGTCAATGGACAGTTTGCAACACCTGCATACTGAGATAATATCACTATCTATACAGAAAAATAAAATTGTAGTGTCTAGTTCTAATATTAAAATTAGCTTTTTGCTAAATGCATAACGATGGAGTGACGACCTGTGCAAATGTGCGGGAAGTCGATGGATGCAGGTGGCTCAGGATCGTACTTCATGGCAGTCTGTGGGGGAGGCCTATGTTCAGCAGTGGACTCAAACAGGCTGAAATGATGATGATGATGATGATGAAATGCATATGGACACGGTACATGTACCAAAATATTTTTTTTACAATCTTTGTCTTTCTGTTTGTTTGTTTCCAGCTAATTTCTGAAACGGCTAATATCTGCATATTTTGACGGGATTTTCACTGGCAAATAGCTGATGTAATAAGGCGTAGCTTAGGCTACTTTTATTTAAGAAATTTTATTTATTCTAAATTCCCCGCAGGCGAAGACGCGGGCACAGCTAGTTATTAATATAAAGCATAGAGCTGTGATACATCGTATGGAAGAATAATTGTTATTACTCTAATACGTTGTGTGACCTGCACAGCGATTGCAGACTCCCGTCAATTCGCGAATTTTTCAAAGACCTTACCAAACGGTTCTTCGATAGAGACGAACATCATCCCTACCCTCTGGTGGTAAGCGCAGCAAATTACCAACCCGATCCAAACGCGAGCGTCAACAAGCGTCGCCCGCGAAACGTCCTCATAGACCCGGTCGAGGAAGGGGACTTAGGTACGTCGGACCCATCGTCGGGGGTCCCGCCGGATAACACTACACACACAGTTAGTGTAGCAACACACACATTAGCTCGCCCTCGCCTCCGAGCACGGCAAGACCGACAAAACGCGTACACAAGGTACCGGGTGTACCACGTTCCAGGGCGGCACCCCCAGCCACCGATTAGCTAAAAACACAGCCGACGGCCATCGGGGTCTCGGTGGGCACCGCAACCTCGATGGCCCTTAGATGACACACCATAGTTAAACGCACGCATGAGCACATGCGTGGCCCTACCCACAGCGGAGGGCTCAAACCCGTGGGTTCTGGCTAGCCCACCGGATTCTGCATCAGATGAAGATTTAATAGTCTCGGGACTGAAAGCACAAACATCAATTAATACAAGATACAAGACGTTGTGTGATAACGCAAGGTCAGGTTAATTTTAAGATGTAGTTCTAGTAAATATTTACCGGTCGCAAATTATTCGTTAAACATATTTTCCGGATCGAAACAATACTCACATGTTGACATTTTAAAGTTTGCTACTAATACTAATAGTTGTTAGTATTTTTTAATAGTTGTATGGTTTAAATTGATTATAACAATATAAAACTGTCTGTACTGTGCTTATGCAGCTCACCATATGTTTTGATAAAAAATATAATGGATGTGAAAATCAAACTTATTTTTAGGGTTCCGTACCCAAACAGTAAAACGGGACCCTATTACTTCAATATTTGTCTGTCTCTTTGTCCGTCTGTCACCAGGCTGTATCTCATGAACCGTGATAGTTAGACAGTTAAAATATTCAAAGATGATGTATTTCTGTTGCCGCTATAACAATAATTAATTAAAAACAGGTTAAAATATTTGAGTGGGGCTCTCATACAATAGACATGATTTTTTTGCCGTTTTTTATAGATAATGGTACGGAACCCTTCTGACTCGCAAGTGGCCGTTTTTCAATTTAAAAAGTACAAAAATTTAATTATTCGTACCTACTAACAAAGTCGTGATAGCACATTGTCCGGCGCTCGCTTTCAATTCAATATACTCGAGCAACCTGAGTTCGGTCCCCGGTGACGGCACAAATGAAATTGTTAATTTTAAACGCCGACTTATCACGTTATCAGCAGTGAAGGAAAACACCATGAGGAATCCTACATAGTTTCGAAATAGTAACAAATAAAAAATATTTTTAAGATAAATATAAAGTCTGCTAAGTGCCAAACTGCAGTGTCGTCGCGTGGTAGACGGTGCCATAATACTCAAATATAATACAAAACAAAAAAAAGCAGTAAACAAGTTTATATATTAAACCTTAAGATTTTTTTACAACTTATGCTGAAGTGGCAAACATTTGCCGTTCTCTTTTTTTATTGCTTTAATTTAGCTCTCCTTTTTATACCATTCGAACGAAACTTGTGCTATCACTCTGTTTGGAAATAGGAACACTTTAGACCGGTGATTTTGCATGCGTATAACAAATCTATAGTTTAAAATAATATTACGAGAGCATTTTACACATGAAAATAAACAGTATTCTTCTTCTTCTTTCCTTTTTTGGCTGTTTCAATGAATACGCGAATGAACACTGTTAATGCTCAAACACTGTTAGTTATTATTCAACATAGTTAAACAAGCTATTGATATTATAGTAACTCTGCATGACATAGCAGTATTCTCTAACCTTTACAATCTGTGGTGACTGACGACAATCATTACTATTTGACACACATAGGACGGTGACAGCCTGAGTGAGTGCGGACAAGTGACAGCAGCAGGGTAGGATTTTGTGCTATAATTATAGTATTTGCACTATAATTTCATGCTTCGTACTATATACTATACATATCTAAGGATAGTACGAAAACGTACTATAATTTCATTACTTTACCTAAATGACATATACCATTCACTGCCATGGCAACATTAAAAGAAGTTCTTTGGGTTATATCGTAATCACATAATTATAGCGAACAATGTAAAGCTGTTTTACCACTTGTATAGATCATTTTCTGTTATTACCATAGATTATTAATAGTTGTCATGTATGAACAATTAACGGGACTTGCCGTGAATGGTACTTTTATGTCAAATACTATCCTTTTAAATTTTTTGTTCTATATTTTTAACCAAACCTAAATTCAACCCTGGACAGCAGTGACAGCTTTCTAGGGATGGGTCGTATCGCTTTTTCTGAGTACCGTATCTGAATCCGATATCGATTTCAAATATCAGATTTCGAAACTATGTATTTTAATATCTAGATATTTTACGGTTCCCTATCCACGTTGATTTATTGAATTCTGAAAAAAAAAAAAAAAATTGTATACTTTAAGGGAGTGGATATAAGATGAATGAAATAACTTCCCTTCATACTTTTTCCAGGCTTAGGACTGGCCTGCAATATTTCATACTTATTATAAATATAAAATTGTGCAGGCGTATTTAAAAGTTGATTCATTTTATGTACATAATTTTCCTTATATTTAAAACTTAACATTATATATTTACAATTATGTCAGGGTTAATAATTATTTATCCGGGTTCAAATTCACGTTTAGGAACGTAAGCTCTCTGACTTTATTCGTCGAAAGTCTTGTTCGACGATCATTAATAATTAACCCTGTCTTACTAAAAATGCGTTTTTTTTAAATTATTAAATTAAAAATTTCATTAAAAATATAAATTGAAATAATATAAAAATGATTTATTTTAACATCTTATATACCGCTTAATAATTGACTTTAACATATTTTTAGAACACGCAATCGAGTGGCAATATTTTTATTATTTGTGTAAGAAATAATACATTCAGTATTATAGCTTAGGGCGGAAGAATTTAAAATATACACACAAGGCACATAAGCCTTGGTCTGATTTCCACCAAAGCAGCACAGCACTATTAAATTATATTTTTATTTTGTGTACTTTTATTTTTTTCCAAAAATATGAATAAAATTTAGCTAATAAAAATATTCACAAAAAATTTACCTCCTAAAAAATTTCCATTGTATATTTTTCTTCCTTAATTTAGGCAGAAAATTCTTAAGTAGTAAGTTGGCATCCCTTACTATTACGTGTTAAGTACCAATGCAATCCAGCTCAAGGCTGAACAAAATTTCAAAGACATCGTTAATACCGTAATTCGTATTTAAATGCAACAGAGTTTTTTTCCATGCTGTTAAGATTCCAAATTACTTAACTGCGCGCTTTGTCGCCCGTTACGGCTCAAGGCTAAACAAAACAATAAAAATATAATAATATCGTTGTAGTAATCGCTGTGGTATCAGCGATTAGTATTTAAATGAAACGGATCTTATTTGCATGGTGTTAAGATTCAAAATTACTTAACTTATTCATAATATCTGTTTAAAAATCTGATATCGTGCATTGCTTGCCGTCCCACTCTAACTAGTAAGTATTTATATCTCACGCGCTTTGTTGCTCGATATCTGATATCGTGCATTGCTTGCCGTCCCGCTCTAACTAGTGAGTATTTGTATCTCACGCGCTTTGTCTTTCGAAATCTGTTTAAAAATCAGATATTGTGGCAAACGCGTATGATATCGCCGTATCGCGATTCGTGTTATAGCGAGCGAGCACGGTACATCAGATTTCGGAAATATCAGATATTGTAAAATACATAGATATTGAACGAGCCAGTAAGCGATATTGGGATATTGTACTAATATCTAGTTTTCATATCTGATACGATTTGTATCGCCCACTTCTACAGCTTTCATTTCCAGTACGTGTTTCTGTGGTGTATCTGTATTTCTGTAAGATGATAAACCAAGGAAAATAAATAGGAATTTTGTTCTAATACCGGGTTTAATACTTCATAACAATGAATTTTAGTCCAAAGACCAGGCTATTGTTAACAGTGATACTAGTGTTATGTAGGTATTCTTTTCTAATTTATTGCAACTTATCCACTCGCTAAATAATTATTGTAATTATTTACATTTTTGTCGTTTACCCACACGAGACAACTATTTGTGTGTCCCACAGATAATTGTTTTGGATCTGGGTGTTTGTCCGCGTGAAATTTATGTCTGTAAAAAGTCCTTACAAAAACAGGATAATGTTGTCCTATAGTAGGTGCGCAATGTTTTCGAAGGGAAGACTACACGTCCTTGGAACTTACTAGCCAATCCCTTCCTATTTTATGTAAGAAGATGTCAATTGAGCTGATGTTAAGTGATAAACTCCGCCCATGGACATTTGCGGTAACATGTGCGGTTGAAGATGCATTGCCAGCATCAAATAAAGTGGGCCTCATTACTTACTCACCAGACAAAACGCAGATGTATAATTTCATAAGTTCATGCTGGTTTTCGTAGTACTCCCCTGGGAAGACTTGCCCGTTTGCGTAACTACAAAAATTGTTGCATAGTCATACCATAGGAAATACAATACAAACTATATGTAAAAGTAAATATTCAAATAACTGGATATGTGACATCTAAAGGTATATTTTTAAACACTTATAAAATTTCTCAGTTTTAAAACTTGACCTTGATTATAAACATAATTTTCTTGATTATGTATTTTTATTATTTTAAGGTCTACCTCTCCAATCAACACAATTTGATGTTGATGAGGAGACTTTAGAACAAATAGGAAACCATCAAGATGACTCAGCCATTGTAAATGTAGATGATTCAGAATCTTTACTTTCAAATGTAGTGTCTGATGTGAACAAGACTTTGATAAACCTCTACAACCATGTAACATCTGCAAATATTACTGCTGAGAATGGAACATATACAGGAAATGACACCCAGAAATTAGTTAAATGCAAAGAGATAGTTTATGAAGAAGGAGTGGAATTGGAAGTGGAAATAGTTAATGGAACACATTTAGCTAAGCTTTTACAAACGAAACCTGAAATAACGAGCCGTGATGTGGAGGCAGACTGTGTAATAGTTTTGTTCTATGCAAGAGCATGCCCATTCAGTGCCCACGCAGCACCTTATTTTAATGCACTAGCTAGAGCTTATCCTAATATAAAAATGGTTGCAGTTGATGCATTAAAATACCATGGTATTAATGCTCAGTATGGGATAGTAGGTGTGCCAACACTTAAGATGTTTCATAATGGAAGACCTGTAGCCAAATTCAATGGAACAGAGTATAACCTTGTATCATTCTGCACATTCGTTTTTGCTGTAACTGGGGAATACCCTCAACCAATGTTGGTAACTTCAAAAGATTTCCAAGGACCAGTACCAAGTGTTGTTGAAAAAGACACTGATTATTTCTTGGTTTTGTCATGGTTGTTTATTGTTGTCTGTTCAATATATTACTTTATGCAGTCAAAATGGTGGAAGATGATAGTTGAAATGGTGCAGAACAACTGGAGAGAATCTGAGGCTCAACATGAGCATAACGACTAGTAAATATATAATAAAGTTAAGACTGTCAAATAAAATATCTCCTTCTATAAATCAATATATGTTTTAATTTTTATACCCATCGTGTTGTAAGGGTCTTTTTTTTTTAATTTGCATCTGGCCAGCACTTGACTGCCATCCCGTTCTAAAAATGTTTGTTGTAAAATTTAATAAGTCGATAAATTATGATGTTTAAAGAATGTAAATGCTTAATACAATTTTAAAAAGTTATCCTCTATAATATGTGTGTTCATTTATTGTTGTGGTTGTAACGACACGCTATATAGACATTTTAACATTTTTTCATTAATAAAACAACAAAAAAAATCCCTTAGATCAATGATCTATAAATGTAATCATCTAGATTTACTGTACAGAATGTTCAAGGGCGGCAGTTACCATTTAAGATCAGGTGAACCGCTAGAGTGCTTGCCACCTTACATAAAAAAAACACTGGATGGGGTGTTATGTCATGTTTTTCTAAATTTTATTCTTAACATCTGTTGCTAGAATTACAAAAATGGTTTAAATTATCATTCATTATTTTATTTGTTTTTTTTTCCTAAATGTTATTTTGTTATAAAATTGGTATTTTGAAATTTATAGTTGTTAAAATAGCTGAAAAACCTATATATTACTGTATACAAAATTTACTTATCAAGGTATTCTTTAATGCGGATCCAAAAATCAAGAATTAATAAAATTTTACAGGATTAACTTTGATTTAGAGAAAAGCAATATTTAAATAATTATACAGGCTACATATTTATATACATTCATTTACTGTAGATAAAGATGTGTACATATTACACAGATGGAATATATGGAGCCCAATTTTCAAAAGGTTGTCAACGCATCTGCAACTCTCGGGTGTGGCAGATGTCTATGGGCGGCGGTATTCACTTAATATCAGGTGACCCGTCTGCTCGTTTGGCAACTTTTCACATGAAAAAAAAAATATTGTATCACATACAAAAAATTTATTTAAGTTCAGCGGGCATTTTATGTCCATTCAGAGCAGCCAAAATATTATTTGCTGTCAGCTCGCTCATAGTATTTCTTGCTTCAATAGAAGCACTGCCTATATGAGGTAGCACAACACAATTTTCCAGCTTAAATAAAGGACTATCTAGCGGCAAGGGCTCCGGTGATGTTACATCTAAGCCAGCAGCTCTAATAGTTTTGTTCTGTAAAGCCTCAATCAATGCATCTTGATCTACAGTCCCACCGCGGCTTGTATTCACAAATATTGCACTATGTTTCATTTTCTCAAATGCTGCTTTATTAAACATTTCTTTGGTTTCTGGTACAAGTGCACAACAACATATGATAAAGTCACTTTGTCTGAGAAGATCATCAAAACTAACTTTCATTGCACCAGTTTCTTTCGCTTCTGGTCTCTCACTACGATTGTAGTAAAGAATTCTGTTAGTGTTAAAAGATTTCACTCTCCTAGCTACTGCTTGACCTATTCTTCCAAATCCAACAATGCCAACAGTGGATGAGGCAAGACCTGGGCCCGTCATCCAAGTTGGTGCCCAGGAAACCCACCCACCAGTTCTTGCTTCATGTTGTGCTTCTGGTAAACGCCTTGATGTTGACAGCAGGAGAGCTAGCTGCAATAATTTTTTAAATACGGTTCATTGTAGGTATATAAAGATCAATTATTTCTTTAGACAATATTATAATAAGAAAACTTATTTCTATAAACAAAACAGACGAAATTTCTTACAAGCTATGTATAAAAAAGAAAAAGGCAACATATGTTTTTAAATTACAATCTATAGTTTGGGGTTATAATTTTTTTAATATTCCAATTTTTGGGCTCTGGTGAAGTCATTTCTTCACAAAGGGTTACAACAAATATATTTTAGAATGTTCATATAAAACTTACAGTCAGTTCTGCTGTGGCATCAGTCAATACATCAGGTGTATATCCAATTTTAATGCCTCGTTTCCTACATTCTTGCACATCAATGTGATCATATCCCACTGATATGGTGGCCACAACTTTTAAGCCAGGTCCGGCTGTATCAAGTAATTCCTTGTCAATCTTGTCAGTGAGAGAACAGAAGATACCATTGGCACCTACAACACTTTTTAGGAATTCAGCTCTTGGCACAGGTGATGGTTGGTCCCAGAGTTTTAAGTCACAACTGTAATTTTTAGAGAAAAAAAAATAAGTTTTTTTTAGTGTTTATTAACCAAACCATAATATTTAGTGGTTCAATATGAACAAAACATCAGTATTCTTGGAGAAAATCAGTTAGAAATCTTTTATTGGTAAACATATCTAATTGCATCAATACACAATTTTGAAATTTGGACTATTTAAAGTAACTAGATATGATAATTAAGTTATTATATCTAGTTAAAATTATTTTACGTAATTACGTCTCTAAATAAATCCTGTTTCACAGTTCAATAACAAATTACAAAAATAAAAATGTTCTAATATTAAAAAGGTTGAATTAAAACATTGTACAGATTTTATTATTTTTGGGTACTGGAATTAAATTCGTATCATGAGATAAGATATAATACATAAGATAATGGTTACTTACTGCTGTTTAAGCAACTCTATGCCTTTATGTGGCATATCAGATCTGGTTACATAAACCATAGATTTTCCAGTGCTGCTCATTGTTCTGACACACCTGCTCAAAGCACCGCCGTTGAGTAAACGCGGTGCACCAATCACTAAACCTTTATAAAGCATGAATAGATTTGAATTAACGTTTTTCTTACGATATCCAATTTCCGTATTCTTTATTCTTGATAGAGGTCATTCTGAGCTATGGCAAATACTTTGGCGGTGCTTCAAGCGGCTTTTTGTTAGCCGTGTCCTTGAAAAACGACGGTTTCGCTACGTAAATTGCAAGATGTAAAACTACAACCGTGCCGAGAATAACTTTACCTTTAGTTGACTTTATGAATGACAAACCAGACATAGTTTTTACTTTGATAAGCTAAAAATAGGTTAAATAAGTTATCGGAATATTAATGTTTTGAAATCAGTTAACCTTGAACTTTCTAGGAACTAGGTAGGAACACAGCACATGAGCACAGTACACACACACCGCGTGATCGACTGTTAGCAATATATATGTCTTATCTATGACTGTTAGTTATGTGAGCGACACTGACAGTAGCTGTCACTGTCGGTCTCAGTGTCAATGTCACATTCTAAGCTGATCTTGAGATAATAAAATGTCAAATCTATACTGCCATACCTGTTTGTAACTATCAATAGTACTGTTAAAATTATAATTAAACGGCTTTTATTTTATTTCAGTTAGCAACTCAAAACTCATTTTATTTTTATTTATTAAGAATTCTTAAGATGTAAGCATCGTGTAAATAAACGTCTGCTTTATCTTTGCGACTTAAGCTTTTGATGATAAAAGTTGACGATTTCACTTCATATGAAATTGAAATATCTTTATTCAACATAAGAGCATTACGCTCGCTTATTGATTGTTAAAATAAATCTACCATTATGGAGTAGACCTCTGGACCTGAGAAGAACCGGCGAAAGAAAATCAGGCCTATTTTTCATCTTTTTATCATTTTTTGACGGTGAGAACATGTTTACAATAAATTAAAGTCCAGAGTGTGTCCAGTCAGAGTGTGTTATTATTTAAATAATCATTAATATTGTACTAGCTATTAATACACAAACTTTCTTTTACAATTTTCTTAAATTTAGCCATTTATACATTTTACCATTTTCCGGGATTTGATTGTAGAAACGTATAAACTGTCACATAAGATTTATTTATTCTACGCTAAAAGATTTACGTAGACTAGTTGTGGTGTAGGATTAATTTATATTTGTTGAAAATCCTTATGTTAATTTTAATTTACATTATATTTTATCTATCTTTTGTATCTTTTGTACCTATAGGTGAAGATGAGTCTAAGTGTGTTGCAGGTTAAGGATAAGGTGTTAATGTCGTTTGAAAATACTAAGTTTGTCTTAAATATTTTCGTCCCTTTCCTCCGCTGGTCAGTAACGATATTACACGTTTAAAAGGCTAGCCTTATTTCTAAAGTCAAGAGTTATGAAGATAGTCAGAAGTCAAGGAAATTCTCTTTAATCCAGCAAGCTTCGGAAAATCACAGAAACTCACTCAAAGAATAATCAGCGACAGATAACTGTTGATCACAACAAGTTTCTTGCATAAGAAATTCGTAATTCTGTACATACGCCGGGTAACAGGGTCTCTTTGGAGATTTTCCCAGAAAGGAAAGAATGAAGAGACAGCTAAACTATGTTCCAACTTTCCAAGTCCAAATTGAGCCGAGAGAAGCTTGTAAGTGTATGGTAAATCGATTTAGTTTGTCGGTTGACATTGTTCATTGTAGCTGAACACTTGACATAACAATTTCTGGTAATCCCTCGAGGAACCCTGTGAATATTGTAGCGGGTGATGGAATGAACTGAGGTCTCCGGTGACAATCAAAAGATAAGGCACGCATGAATATTGTATCAAGCTCGTTGAATCGATCTGTTCCGAGCTCTGCGTTCAGTCAAGGTTTATTAGTGTACGGATTATACAGATACGGAAGCGAAAACATCATTTTTATGAAGATATAACAACAAGGACAGTTTGATAATTGTTATGTTATTGTTATATTCACTTCGCCTATAATGTGTATTCAGGGCAACTTCGGGCAACTTCAGGGTAAGCACCATAATAAACTCACTAGAAGTAGGGATAAAATAAACACAGGGATAAAAGGTAGTAGGTGCTATGCACAAATTGCTGCCTAATCTCGGGGGCCCCAGGAAGGAGTTCGCCGCCTCTATGCGGGGATCGCGCGATCGATGGCTCTCTACGGGGCGCCCGTATGGTCTCACCGACTAACGGGCGTCCGACGCTGCAGAGCTAAACTTTATAGCCTGCAGCGAAAAATAGCTATCAGGATCGCACGAGGGTACCGAACGATATCCTTTGAGGCGGCCACTATCCTCGCTCGGTTTCCACCATTGGACATCCTGGCGGAGATGGATGCGCGAGTTTATACTCGGCTCCGACTACCCCAGGATGATGCCGAGCCCCTGGATGCGGGTGAAGTGCGTGAGCAGGAGCGTATAAGGGCGCTAGAGGTTTGGCGCGAGCGCTAGGGCGAACCACGAAGCTCGCGCCAGCGAATCGTCACCACGTTCTTGCCGAGCTTCGAAGCCTGGCTAAGTGCGAGGGGATTTGCGCATGTCACCTTTCGGTTGACACAGGTACTCACCGGGCACGGATGCTTTGGTGAGTACTGAAATAGAATCGACATACGCGAACCGACAACGCAATGCCACCATTGTGGTGGGGACCGGTACTCCGCGCAGCACACACTTGATGAGTGCCCCGCGTGGGAGTCAGAGCGTCGGTCCAAAAGATCGGGCAAGACCTTTCTCCACAAGTGGCAGTGTCAGCTGCACTGGTGGAGAAATCTACTTGGACGGCACTAGTCTCCTTCTGCGAAGCTGTTATGCTCCAGAAGGAGATCGCTGAACGAGAACGGAAGAGGGCTGATCCCGCTCGAAGACGAAGGCGCCAGGGCGGCAGAAACGGACGTGCCGCCCCGTCAGCCGTGTAGTCACGGGCTTATAAAATAGGGCTAAGGTATTCCCTGCCTGTCGTAAAAGGCGACTAAAAGGGGACACGGATTGGCAGCAGCTCGAAGTGGTCTCAAGCTGCTGCAAGATGGTGAGGGAACCGGGGAAGCTATCCTTCTCCGGGGAGTGCGCACGCGCAGTACTGACGGACACCGGTGCGTTCCGTGGGAGATCCCGGAGTCCCTCTCAACGTACAGAGGGTGGCCACCGAGGGGGTTTTAGTGGGTAAGAACCTCACATAACCCTGTCATGTAATGTGACAGGGTATCTTTGCAAGATTTCCCCCCCGATACCAAAAAAAAAAAGGGATACCACGAATATAAAGGTGAGTATAGAATAGAGCATTTACATGTAACAGAACATCGAGTCGCACTATGATATGTTCTAATGTATCACCCTTTTACGAACCAGACGTCGAGCACGCTCACCGTTTTGTTACAACAATTGTACAAATTAGCGTATTTGTAAAACATTTCATCGAGCCTTTGCACGAGCGCGGGCGATGCGCGGTGCGGGGTGACGTGGAGTGACAGGGACGAACGACGCACGCAGTCAGTTGCACGTGTATTGCAAAAGCACGTTATTTAGAATTATTATCTATTTTCTATTCATTCTGTGTGGGATAGGGGACAAGTCTCATATAATTTAAAAAAAAGCCTAAAAAACCCGACTGCGTTTCTGTGTATTTTTTTATTTTGATATACCCAGTGTCACTCTCACGGTAAATACGAATCTAACGACACCTCTCAAGCTAAAATCCATCGAGCTGTTCAGGCTTCGAGCGAGGCATTGAGCGTGCCAAACAGTTATACATACATACATATATACATTCTGCCGCAGTTGGGTAAAAAACTTTATTGTTCATTGAAAAATTGGCATTAAGTCGAACAGAGCTTCGAGTATTGGCAGGAACGTTACTATGGAAATACTATGGAACCTGAGTTTTTACATGCATTGTACCATTCGTACGAACTTTACATTACTTAGAAATGCTCGAGAAAATGGTCTAGTTTATACTTACCTTTAGGCTACTACTTGTCTGTTCTTCCCTTTTTTTTATATTTGCGTACCGCGCACAATGTAAGCAAGAGCACACATATTTCTGTTAAAAAAGTATATAAAAATTGAATTGAAAATTATTACTTAAACAGGTACTTAAATTTTATTACTAATTACTACTAATTAGTAAACAATTTTTTAAAACTTTTGTTCGTCGTTGTCTTTCCTTAATTATAAGATAAGCACCTGTTAAATCACACCGGCAATCTGCTCTAATTTTATGCACAGTTTGTAATTAAAATACTGTTTTCAGTAACTGTAATAATAATTAACATTTTTTAGATAATTTATAATTATCTACACATTTCTATTTTAATGAATCACAAAATGTACAAATATTTACACAAAGCTTAATGCGGTATAATTAAAACAATCGCAAATATTAAATCGCCAGTATTTAACTCGAGCATTGAGATAATTGAATAAATACGCAATCGCGCCTCTTTATACGTCAAATTGACGTTAATTCTCGGTTACGAATAGCAGTTTTACTGCCTCGTAATAAACCAGCTCAATTATTTTCGCCACGAAAAATTAATTAAAGAGAATAGTTGTATGCGAGACTTTCGTTCTGAAGAGGCGTCGGGAATCTCATGCGGAATTCTGTACCTGCAATGTTACTTTCATCTCGTTAATGCGGTGTTTGCCTTTGATTTTAGTTTTGCTATCGATATAGATAAGGAAAAATAAGGAAAGCCAAAGTCTTATAAAGTTGTATAAAAGACGAAATAAGAAAAGTCAAAGGTCAAGGCTAAGACTTAAATGTATAGGAGGTCGTTAAAAATATATTGCATTTTTAAAAACAAAAAACCCCATTTCGTACTTAAATATTACATTGATAAAATTATGTATTTACAAATTTCCGAGCTTTACAAGTTGACAATGCCATTCTTATGAACATAGATGTTTATTATAGATGATAATAATTACAGATATTTAATAAAGATAATCAAATTTATATTTCCAATATT